TTTATGTGATGTATTACATTTAGTGATTTGCATATATTGAACCAGTTTTGCATGTCTGGGATAAATCCTACTTGGTCATGGTATATGATCTTTTTGGTGATATCTTGCATTCTGTTGGCCAGTATCTTGTTGAAGACTTTTCTGGTTATGTTAATTAAAGAGACTGACCTATACTTCTTTGTTTGTTTGTTTGTTTTTTGTTTTTGTTTTGGAATTAGGGTAACAGCATCCAGGAATGACCTTGGACATTTTCCTTCCCATTCAATTTTGTTAAAGAGTTTGAGGGGTATCAGCATTGTAGAATTCAGCAGTGAGCACATCGGGAAGTGAGATATTCGTAGTTGGTAGTTTTAAAAATTATTTCTTCAATCACATTGCCTGGTATTGGATTATTCAGAGTTTTTATATCTTCTTGGTTTACCTTTGGTAGTTAATATGTGTCTAGGAATCTGTTCATTTCTTTGGAATTCTCCATTTCATTAGAGAACTGGTTCTCAGAGTAGTTACTAATAGTCTGGAGTTCAGCAGAATCTGTTGTGATCTCACATTTTTCATTTCTACTTGCTTGATTTCTTCCTTCCTTCCTTCCTTCCTTTCTTTTTCTTTCTTTCTTTCCTTCTTTCTTTCTTTCTTTCTTTCTTTCCTTCTTTCTTTCTTTCTTTCTTTCTTTCTTTCTTTCTTTCTTTCTTTCTTTCTTTCCTTTTTTCCTTCCTTCTTTCCCTCCCTCCCTCCTTCCTTCCTTCCTTCCTTCCTTCTTTCCTTCCTTCCTTCCTTCCTTCATTCCTTTCTTCCTTCCTTTTCTGATAAAATTGACTAGGGGTTTGTTTATTTTGTTTATCCTTTCAGTGAACCAGCTCTTTGATTCTTTGTTGGTTTTCTTTTTTGTCTCAATTTCATTAATTTCTGCTCTGATATTTATAATTTCCTGCCTTGTGTTTGGATTATTCTTGTGTTTTTAGGACCTAGAGGTGAATTTTTAAGTTATTTATTTGGATTCCCTCTGTCTTTCTAATATGAGCAATCACAGCTATTAGACTTCTCTCTTAGGAATACTTTCACTGTGTCCCATATGTTTTGGAATGCTGTACTGGCATTATCATTTGATTTGAGGAACTAAATTCTTCCTTGATTTCTTCTGTGGCCCACTGATTATTCTAGAGGGCATTGTTTTAGTTCCATGTGTTTGCAAATTTTTTGTGGTTTCTTTTCCTATTGATTTCTAGTTTAATTGCACCTAAATCTGATAGTATGCATGCAATGATTTTGATTCCTTTTCATTTACTTCAGCATGCTTTATGAGCTACTGTGTATTATTTTGAAAAAAGTCCCATGTGCTGCTGAGCTGTATGTGTATTCTGTTGTTGTTGGGTGGAATGCTATTTAGATGTCCATTTGTTAGAAGGTTTGATTCAATTCTGATATTTCTTTGTTGATTTTTTTTGTCTAGTTGACTTGTCTATTTGTAACAGTAGGGTTTTGATACAATTATAACTATAATTGTGTTGGTATTATAACACACTATAATTGTATTGATATTATTCTAGTCTTTTATGTCCAGTAGTGTTTGTTTTATGAAGTTGGGCACACCAATGTTTGTTGCATATATTTTTATGATTATTACCTCTTAATTATTCTCTTAGCCAATTTGTAGTGACCTCTGTCTCTTCTGATCAGTTCTGGCTTGAAATCCACTTTGTTAGAAATTAGGATAGCTTTTCGTGCTTTTTTCTGGGTTCCTATTGAATGGAATATTGCCTTTAATGTTTTTATTTTAAATCTGTGTATTCCTTTTTTGATTAAATATGTTTCTTGCATACTGCATATAATTGGTTTTCTTTCTTGATCTATTCTGTCAATTCATGTCTTTTTACTGGGGGAAGTGAGACCATTCGCATTGACACTTATTACTGATAGGTATTGACTTTTTCCTATCATTGTGTTATTTTCCTGTCACTGATTTCCTTTCCCCCCCTCTCTTTTCTGCTTTACTGCTCACCCTGCCTGGTGTATTCATGCTTTAGGGTTTTGTTTTTTTTTTTTTTTTTTTTTTTTTTTTGGCTTCATTGTCTCTTTCTAGGATATCCTTGAGAATTTTTTTTTGTAATGCTGGCTTGGTGGCCATGAATTTTGTGAGATGCTCTTTGTCATGGGACTATCTTGTTTCTCTATCAATTTTTAAAGAAACTTGCAGGATATATAATTCTGGGATGGAAGTTGTTATCATTTAGGGCTTGAAAAACTTCACTCCAACCTCTCCTAGCCTTTAAGCTTTGTGTTGAGAAGTCTGCTGTAATTTTAATAGGCTTACCTTTATAAGTGATTCATTGCTTTTCTCTAATAGCTTTTAAGATTCTGTCCCTGTATTGGACTTCTGAGATTTTGACTATGATGTGTATGGAGAGGTTCTCTTTTGGTCATGGCTATTTAGGGTTATATATGCCTCATTTATCTGTATGTTTAATGCTTTGTGTTTAGGTTTGTGGTTGCTTACAGTAGAAAGACTTTATTGCTAGTGTGGAGACCTCTTTAGTTAGTGTGGTTTTTAGTGATGAACTCAGGACATGGACAACTAGAATCCTTTGCCTGCGTTCCAAGATCTGACCACCTCTGTTAATTTGGGAAGAGAAGATGCAGTGTAGTTAACCTGGTATCCATTTCTTCGGGGATGGATCACAGTATTGTTAATGTCACAAAGGCACTCTGGGTATTGGCATACAGAGAAAACCTATTAATAGCAACAACTATGAGACCCTAGCAGTATCAAATAAATCAGCAACAGTAATGTTGTCTGAGACAAACTGGATATTGACATACCATAAGAACCAATAATATAATACCCTTAACCTTAGAAAAGAAATCTATAATTATAGTATAAAAAATAAGACAAGCCAAATATTGACATACAGCAAATATCTACTAAATACAATAACTATACCTCCACTAATGATAGAAAATAATTCAACAGTAGTAACTTAATGTTAACTAGCTATCTAAAGATTAATACATCTTAATGGTTATATAGTTAAAGATAAAAGGGGTTGGAAATGGGAGAATGCAAGAAAAAAATTTGAAAAATTAAACAATGAGAGATGAAAAGGAGGAGAAAAAATGAGACAGAGGATTCTATTAAGTAGTGTAATGATATTTATAGAATTAGATTAAGATAATAGAATAAAAACATATGAGAAATAGCAGATAAAAAATTGAAGAAAAATCTGGAGAATAAAAAAATTGAAAAAGTTAAAAGGAAAAATATTAAAAGAAAAAGAAGAAAAAAACCAAAAATTTCCTAACCTTCAATAACCATTGAAGGGCGGGGGGAAGGATGAAAGAGAGAGAGAAATGAGTCTAAAAACAGAAAAAAATTTTTCTCTGTATTTTTGAATGAATGGTTTCCTTCAAGTTCTGCATTTTTGGGGTCTAGCAAGTCATAGTTTTCTTTGCCTAGCCTTACATCCTGTGGGTTTGTGTGCCTCCCCATTCCAGAGGCCTCTCTGTTTACCCCAGCCTGTATCAATGTCCTTGCACATGTTGATGGATAGGGAAGGCAATAAGACCTCAGACCTGTGCTGGATGTAGGCAGCATCATTCAAGTACTTAATGCTGGCATTTTCAAACCCACACATCTCTGAGCACAACTCAGTTAGAACTGGCTTCTCACCACTGAGGATAGGGGCTGTGTCCTTCCTGGCCTGAGCTTAAACTTCATAGGGGAATCTCTTTCTAGTTTCCTGTCTGTCTGCGGGTTTTCTGCTGTGGCTATCTCTCACCCAGTCACTGTGGGAAGGTAACACTTGGAAACCTGATTATGAAGTTGTTTTTTAGTTGTTCTTAATTCCAGATTTAAATAATCAACCTCTTCCCAAAATGGTACCTGATTGAACACTCTCTGGCGATATGGCAGGTGCCCCTGCTGGAATCCCTCTCTTACTGTTACCTGCCATGGAGAAAGAGTCCTCTCAGAGCAAAACCACATACTTCTTTTGCAGTTCACAATATCCATGGGCTCATGCCACCACCTAGTCTACCAGTGTTTATTCCTGGATCTGCTAGCCCTGGGTGCTTACCTTGCTTTTGTGGAGCCAGGTTCCCCTCCTCATGATCCATGAGCCAGGGAGAGCATCCAGATTATTTAGTTATTTCTCTGAAATGCAGGTCATGTGTTCAACTCCTCTGTAGCTTCTGTTTTTCCTGTTTCTTCTTTCCTGATTCCCCCTGAACTATTTCACTTTTTTTTTTCTTGGCCAAGTTGTTATTTTCCAGTGTCTGGATTCTGGATCTCAGAGAGGCTTACTTTTGCTACTGATCACCACTCCACCATTTCTCCTTCTTGTTGTTATTTTAAGCGCTAAGTTTTTGATGGCTGTCCAGCCTGTCAAGTATGCTAAAAGCCTCCCAGTTATAAAAACTACAGGATCATTGGATGCCAACATAGAGAAGGGAGTGATAAAATAGGAAGGAAGAGACAGGAAAAGGTTGAGGCCACAAAGAGAAGGGCACTGAAAGAAAACCTAAATTGCTTGCCAGTTTCGCCTGGAGCCAGTTACAGTGGGAGTAGCTGCATTTGGGCCAGCAGTTCCAATGTTCTGCTTTACGCCTATGAACTTTCCTTTATGTGAACATGCTTTGCAACAGCACACTAGTGTGGTGGCAGCTAGAATGAAGCCAAAGCTACATTTTCTATTCTTCTGTGGTCACTTTGGTTTTGTTGAACGTCGATATGTATAGCCAATATAGGGAACCCAGGATAGACTCACAAGTCCAGGTGTACTACTGAGAATGTGCTTGCTTGTTTCCTTGCTCATAGAGAGTCACAGAATTCATAATCTTGTAGAAAACATGTGGCATTGTAAGCATTTATCATTTCATATGGCAAGATTGTTTTTTCTCTCTGCTATCAAGAGAAACAAATCATTACAAATTGTCTTTGCTTCCTTTTTTCTTAAATCATAGTTCTTTTAAAGAAAAATGGAGGAATGAAAGTTTTCCAGGTCTATAAATGGTTTGCAAAGGTAATATCTTTTTTATTAATGTATATAGAATTTAAAAGAGTGTAACGAAGTGTATTAAATGCTGCATGGATATTATTCTATATAGCATTTTAATCATTGTGAAAAATAAGCCATTTTTACTGCTTCTTGATATTTTTCATCTAATATTCAAATTATTGTAGAAGTAGTAGCCACCATCTCACTTAATGGCATCAGTGAGTTACATTATAAAAGTTTGTTATATAAAATAAAATTTCAAATAGAAAAAAAGGCAGTAATAGAAAAATGTTAACATTTAAAATAACCACAAAACACACTGCCAACCCTAGAGACTTTGAGGTCTTAAAGACTCTTTTCTGTTTTGTTGAATATTCAGTTCTAGTAAATATCACAGCCGTACAGTTCCAGGCGAAGTGCAATATTCTGAGTCCATGTTTTAGGAATGATGCGGATAAACCTGGAAATGATTGGTGGATTGAAAAAGTTCTTCACATGTCCTTTGACATTGCCATTTCCTTCAAAAACCTGAAAGCAAAATAAGAAAGATAATTTTCAGTGTTGGTATAGTGGATATAAAGATGTGACAATTCCTTATCCTTTTAGTGCAAACTGAGGACATCAAATAAGGGACGAGAGGGTAATGGGAAAAAAAATGAATCACAATATGTCACATACAGGTACAAATTACTCATGATGAACGTGACCATTATGTATACCTGAAATGTACCAATAAATTTAATTAATTAAAAAAATAGCACTATCATAGAGATGATCATCAATTAGTGTCTGCTAGACAGACCCATTTAGGCATTTTCATTTCACCAGTGATCTGAGTGAAATTAAAGAAAAATAAATCTGATGCAGTGCTGTATAGCAGCATTTTCTAATAGTTCTTAGAGCCTTGTTAGTTGTATGGCTTCAAAGAAGTCAATTATATTCTCTCATTATCCATTTCCTCATTGGCAAAATAGGGATGATAAAAATTTCACCTCAGAGAAGTTGGAAAGTTTAAAAATGTATGTCAGCATATGACAAGTGCCTGTCGAGTAGTGGGCACCAAGTGGTTAGCTGCAAACAGTTAAAGTATGATTAAGTATGATCATGCATTTCTGTGCATTTATACTTTCATAGCATATGCTCTGTGTCCTCAACTAAACTTTTAAAAAATCCTTAAGAGTTTCTCCAAGATTTACACACACACATAGAAACTAAATCAGTTATTTATGACAGTGGTGCTTACTGTGGTATGATCCCATAGTATAGTGAGAAATAAACCAAGGGAAACAGACAACAGGGGTTTAAAAAAGTGAGAAATGGGTATACATCATTAACTGAGTTAAGTACTGAGCATTTGATGAGAATTCATTACATCTCAGTTCCCTTTTCCTACATTTATTTTCCCACTAGATTTAGTCCAGTTTCCATTCCTGGAATATTAGGCATATCTCCTTAACTTTGTTCTGGAACATTTTTAAACCATCTGCTAGGAAGTAGAGAAGCTCAGAATTGTAGTGAAGTAAAGTAGTTTACCAGAAATTTATTTTTCCGTCAGAAAGGATAACAATGCTTTCTTCTGTTCAATGACAATATGACACACAGAATTTTGTGATCTTGGGCATTTGATCGGTCATGAATAAGAAGTGTAATCGAAGGCAGTGCTAATATGGCATTATTTCACAGTGGAAGGTTTTTTTTTTGGATGCCTTCTCCATCTTCTCAGTCAGAGCTAGTTAAACTCATACTACACCCTGGTATTGTGTCCTCACTCTTTTCACAGGAGGCTCAGTCAAGACAGAAAGGTGATGTGCATGATCCTTGTCCCAAGACCAGGTGCCTGCAGAACTAGGCTTTAGAAGGCTTAAAGAGGTAGCAAGTGTTAGTGCATACTTGTCAATTACAAGGCACTACTATTATTCTCAACATGGGACAGTTTTCATATTGCTTTCTCTTTGCCCAGAAGCCAGCCCATACCTTGTCTACCATGAAGGATTTCTGCCTGTAAGGTTTCCACTCCGTGCCCTGGTTGCTGTAGTAAATGGTGTAGCTCTTCACATACATTTCAGAGGATAGAGACTTGCAGCCCTGTGTTACAATTGCAGTGATCTTCTTGATTTTGAGCAGATCAATTTGTAACCACTGTTGGTTGTTGTTTGCCTATGAAAATGATGAAAACACATGGACAAATACAATTTTAGAAACTTTGCTTTGTTTAGACCAAGCTCTTTAGGAAAGCATAGAACTTGAAAGGTTTCTTTTCTGTCTCATACCCTCGGATTTATTGTCTTTTAGAAGACTTTCATATTTTTTTCTTGCTTGTTGTCACAAGTGTATAAGTTTCTATTGGTATAATTCATGCCTTATACAATAATCGTTTACTTCTTTATATCACTTATTCTTTAAGGGCAGGGGCTTTTAGTTTGGTTTTCTGGTATTTAAAACAAGGCAAGGCGCATGGTTTGTATTCAATAAATACTTGCTGAGTGAATGAGTAAATTAATTTTACTTGAGAGATTGCTAAATTATCTGTAATATTTTCTTAAGCAAGTTTGTTTACATACAATGATAATACTGTTGCAGGATTATCTGGGAAAGAATTGGATAGCATCCCCTCTCTATTTAATACACTTTAGAAAAGCCCAACTTTTCTTTCCACTGCTGTTGTTAAATAGGAGAAACAGTCTAATTTCTTATTTTCTCAAATTTCAAATAAATGTAATGTTTGAGAGAGCTGATAGAGCCATAAGTAGGACTTGATACACATCATAGTAACTGTCCTGTCCCTAGTCTAACATAAGAGCCAATCATGTTCAGTGATATGCACTTGGACAAAGTCAAAGGACTAATTGATGTTTTGAATCATCTGAGATGAATTTTCACCTTCCAGAGAGTTATCATGCCCAAGAGATCTCACTGAACTTTATATGAAAGAATAAATACTGATATGTTTCCTTAACATCATCCTTTTTCTGTGGATGTATGTGTATCTTTTTATATGCTTGTGTATTATATGTGTGCATTGGCATGATATATTTTAAAAGCAAATTGATTGAATTAAAATGATTGTGGTAGAACTTTTATTAATTTTGTGACACCCTCTAGTGACATCTGGGTGGTGTCTTAAGTGTCTTCAAACTGATGTTGTACCGTGAAACAGAGAGGATTTCTGCAGGCATAAATGAGTTAGGGACACTTGAGTCAGAGAGAGTGCACATCTGTGTGCCTGCCTGAATGTGTTTAGCTTGAAGCTGTTAAAGAAATCCTATAAATGTATTTCATATGAATAGAAGGTTAAATGAAACAGATATTTCTAGATTAAGAATTCTGGATTTAGGATAATAGCATTAAAAGTTAAAATTAATGTTTTATCTTTCAGCTTTTTTTATACTACAAAGACTAAGAGCAAGCTATATGGGAAATAATTTTTTAAGGTTGTAAAATGGGGAGGTGAGAGAGGATTGGGTGACATCACTCTTTAACCATTTAAAATTTATATCAGTATATAAATATAATAGACTATAATATAATGTAATATAATACTGTTATTTTAATTTCCTTGGGTGTCAGTTTTTCTCCCTGCAAAATTTAAAAATGAGGTGTTTGGGCTGCTTTAAATGGAGAAAAGACCACTAGCTATTTACTGGGAAAGGAATTCAAATTCTGATTCTACCACCAAATTAAACTGAAATTAGTTATTGTTTTTATTTAGACAGCAAAGGAAAGGTATGGAGCAAAAGCTTTATAAACAGCCTGCCACTGTAGTATTCTTGATTCCATGATGGGCCAGATGAGTTTTGAGGCACAGAGAGGGATCCCCAAGACTGTGTGGGGTACTTGCACCACAATTCTCTTTTCCTTTCTAGTGGTCTAATCTGAAGACAGGACCTGGGCTTCTACAGAGAGCTCAGGAAATTGGAATGTAAGTCTCTTAAGGGAGGAGTTGGAGGACAGTAAGGAGGGAATTTGGATTTAGTTGGATGCAGGATGCTTAAGTTACTTGGGGATTCTGATTTTTCAGGTCAGTTAAGAATGAAACAAAACCAAATAAACTATGAACAGTTCCCCTAATGTTAGGTCACCTGAATTACTCAATGGGTTAAGTATCACTCTCTAAAAGTATGTGTTAGAGGAAAAGTATCACTCTCTAAAAGTATTTGTTAAACTTAGATCACTGATTTATAACTGTGATTTTGCAGCATTTTACCATGACTACAGTCATCTCAAGGATGTCTTAAAATATGCTCTTAAAAAATGAGCACAAAAAATTTAAATGGCACTCTTAAGAAAATGAAAAATATTGTTAAATTGTGAAGAAACCAAACAAGGCATGTTCTAAATCTAAAGCATTTGTTACTAATGTTATCTGTATCAGAAATTGGAAACTACAGCCATGATAATGCATTTACATATTGTTTATGGCTGCTTTTCTGCTATAATGGCAGAGGTGAGTAGTTATGATGAGAATGTTTGGCCTAGCAAGCCTGAAATATTTTCTCTTTGAATCTTTACAGAAAAATGTTGTCTCCTCATGGTTTAAATCAAGGCTAGGCTAAGAATAACAGATGATAAATGATTTCTCCCTGAACTAAAGCTATTGATTCTACAGACATCTTAGATTCTCAGACCTCAGATTTTCATCTGAGACATAAAACATGATATTCCTGTTTTCCAGACCCCCCCCATTCCCTTTGGAAGGGCCACTGTTTCCTTCTGGGGATACTGAGAGTTCATTCATTCATAGGGTCTGTATCACCTTGGCTTGCCAGGCATTCACTCGGCCCTGGGCATTAAGGCGGGCAAGGGAGGGCTCCCAGTAATCTCCCCACCAGGATTTTTTAAATGAGGAGGCTGTGATTTGCTTGTTTTCTATTTTTCCACTCTCCATACCCAGTGGTGTGGAGCACCCTGTCAAGAAAAAGGTAATGGGATTAATTACACAACACCAAAATCTCTGCATGATGTTTCACACTTTAGAGTCAATAAGAAATAACATTACTACCAATTAACAACAAAAACCATCACAACAATGCACATTCATTGAATTCATATGGCAAGTGCTGCTCGCAGGTGCGAATGTATTCTTTAGTGCTTACAATTATCTCCATTTTACAAATGAAAAGACAAGGGCTGGGGATTTAGCTCAGCGGCAAAAGCGCCTGCCTGGCAAGCGCAAGGTCATGAGTTCGGTTCCCGGTACCGGACAAAAACCAAAAAAAAAAAAAAAAAACAAATGAAAAGACAAGATTACAGCATAATTTGTGTAACATAATACAGCCAGAGAATTGGAAGTTAAATTTAAACTCATACAGTAGATGGTAATATCATGTACTCAATATTTAAACTCATTTTTCCTCCTATAGAAAATCATGGAAACTTCAGACTTTGCTCTGAGGTAGGCAATAATTTCTAAACCATTCATATATAGTCCTGTGCTGCATAGTGTCCTTTCAGCTGATGACAGACCACATATGCAACAGTGGGCCCTTCAGGTTACGATGGAGCCAAATATTCCTGTTGCCCACTGACATCATAGCTGTCATAACAGTAACATGACACACTACCCACATGTTTGTGGTGATGGTAGCGTAAATAAACCTAGTTGTATAAAAATATAGAGCATATAGTTGTGTACAGTTCATAACACATGATAACAAGAGACTATGTTACTGATGTGTTTACTATATTTTTTAACCATTGAGACTGTACGTCTTCTATTTATAAAAAAAGTTCATTGTAAAACAGAACACCCAGTTATGCTATCAGGCCTCACACATTTTACTCCTCTTGATTGCATCGAGAGGCCCCATGGAGTGATTGCCCTGTACCATCTAAGTTTGTGTAGTTACATATACTCTATGATATCTGCACCATGAAACAGCTGCCTAATGATGCATTTCTGAGAACACATTGCTGTTAAGAAATGCATGACTGCATGAGTGTATATCAAAAAGCACTCTGTTTCTTCTCCTAACAAAAGTGACAGAAAAATATAGTGCCATGTTGGTAGTCACCATCTAATACTTCGAACATCCTGGGCAGCAAGGCTGTTCTGTTAGTGTGAGAGGTGTAGGGCTGAGCTAGCCCAGTAGCTGCCCATCACCCATGACACTTTCGTTCTCCCTAGTAAAACATACAGAAATTGACAAAAATCCTAAAAGGAATACCTACTGCTAACGCAGGCTATATATGTTACAAGAAAGTAATGCTTCTTATACAGAAAAGAGATGTTTTAAATAAATTAACAGTTGCATGCCACATTGTAGGGTAGCTTGACTCAATACTGTGTACAAATCTACCATTTATACCATAGGCCATATGGGAAGAAAGAAACCTTAATGACTTATAGAACTGTTTGTTTGTTTTTTGTTTTTTTTTTTTTTTTGGTTTTTCTCCGGTACCAGGAACCGAACCCACGACCTTGCGCATGCCAGGCAGGCGCTTTTGCTGCTGAGCTAAATCCCCAGCCCCTACAGAACTGTTTGAAACATTGTTTCTGCCTGTAGAAAATTTTCATTTTATATGGGAGGTGCTGTGTACTATTGCTTTATGGATGTTAGCAAACATCCATATCCATATCCCTCATGAATACCAACAGTATACTGTACCTTTGTCTGCACTGATAAAAACTGATTACAAGGTTCAGCTACTTTCTCCTCTGAGTTACAGCTTCCTCTCCTGTGCTGAGGAAAGCTGCTTCATGTCTCCAACTGTGTGACATAGCAAATTTCCCATGTGATCTATACTGACCCCTCACTCTTCAGCCTTTCAGCAGCCAGCTGGGCCTGCTTCAGCTTGGGCATGAGGCAATTGCTATAACTTCTTACCTCAGACTGCTGGGCAGATATTATTTTTTATGTGTGCTTTAAAGTGAAAAATATTGGAAAGCATTCATTTACATGTCAGAAAAAGTTAAGACTCTTTAAACATCATTGTTATATAAAATAGAATTTTACTATAACCACTTATCATGACCTGGATTTATTTATATCATAGGTCATATTGCATCCCCTGAAAAACAGCAGCTTACAAAGAAAGGACTTGAGTACCAATATAGAATACAGAAGAGGATACAGAGCTGATGTTCTATAGAAGTTGGAAAGCAGACCCAAATTTCAAAAGCATTCATTGAATAGCAAGATATGCCAGTAATGTTGCTGAATATTTTCATTGAATTAAAGTCTAAGTGACCTACAAGACATTGTAAGAATAGAGCCTAGTTTGAAGCGCAAGTCATTCTTATTGAAAATGCGCTGGTGGAGGACCCTTCCTTGGGGCATCATGGTTGTATCTGTATCATCTAGCATTGTTCAAAGAGATGCTGCCCTCTGGCTAGTGGGACCAGACTCAGTCAAGGCCAGATGGAAGAATTTACCTGGACTCGGTTTCGTGACGATTTTTCTAAAGCCTAAGTTATTAAAGAGAACTAAGAATTCTTTCTATTTCCCCACACACCCCAAATCTAGAGCATCTGAATATCAGTGAGAAGATAGTACATCTTTGTTCCTTACCATTAACTTCACAGCCTTGCAGCTCCATTCGAAGTGTGGGTCTGTTATAGGATCTTGTTGGAGATATCCTAATATATCTAGCCATAATAGGTGGCTCAAACTGATTCTCTTTTATTGTAGAGGCATCTGAGTTGCCATCAAAATACTAGGATAAAAGAAGAAAGCTTAGTTACATAACAGCTCTCTGTGAAGTGACTTTATAATAATGTTTTCATCTAACTTAATATTAGAATATTAAATTTTCATGGTGCCTAACTCAAATTAATTTGATCTTAAAAAATAATTGAGGATACTTCTACTGCCAGGAAGATGATGTACTATATCCTATTTGCTCCTGCTATGTACAACTCGGTACCCTGGACACAAACATAAAAGAAACAAGACTCTGAACTGTGGGGAGAAGAAAGGATACTGACAGGGGTTCTCAGGACTCAGGGAAAAACCTGGCGGTGGCTACCCTTCTCTTACATATCCTAGTCTTGGAGATGTCTTGGAGATGAAGAAGCCAGTAACCTGAAAACACCAGTGGTGCAGGCAAACAGCACTCCAACCAAAGGACCGGGAAAGGACAGTTTAACTGAGCAGAAAAGGTTCAGACAGTAACTTCTACATGAGCCAAAACCCACAGAAAACATAGTAGACCCTCCCAAAACTAGCAGAAAAAACAAAATGGGGAGACTTTTATGCTTGTCAAACTAAAGAGGTACCCTAATACCCTTGTTGGGGCTATGTCCAAAAAGTCTAGGGTAGGAACCCAGAACTTTCATCTGCTCCATCCCCTAATGATGCTTCTGCCTTGCAGTGTCAGTAGAAACCACATGGGGAACTCGGTTCCCACCCGAGAGCAAGGTTTCTTTTTGTAGGAAGGGAGGGACTTTGAGAGGAGGGTTCCTGGCTGAGCCCATGAAAGACCCAGCAGGGGAACATCATTCCTTAAGCATGACTGCAAGTAAATCTGAGAATTATAGTGCCTCATAAATACTACTATTTCCTTCAGGTATACTGAAATTAAAAACAAAATAAAATGTAATAGTAAAATCAAAACTCTTGGCAAATGTCTAACATAAACTTGAGAAATAAGACCAGATATTTTATTCTGTACATAATCTGCCAATCTAGTGTTGTTGTTGTTTTTAATAATACAGGAATAGTTTTCAATTTTTGTGCGGTTTTGAAGTTTCAGTAGTTCTGCTTATCCCTTTAATTTTTAATTCACAGACTGCCACCATATTACCATTTTCTTCCATAAAAGCCTTAGATAGCTTTTCTCATTGCCTAGACACCCTAGGGTGAGTCTTGCAGTTAGATGGACGCATATACACGGACCATCACATTCTTTGTGCTGTTTCCCTTGAAGATCTTCCAGTTGGTACGGTCAGAGCTGTAAGCCACATAGAACTCGGTGGTGTAGCAAGACTTGAGGTAATGTTTGGCACCCTGGGTCTGGATCCCTGTGATAACAACTTCTTTTTGCATGTCCACCTGCAACGGAGGTCAGCTGTCAACAGAGCTGTCCTTGTATATGAATACGTGCTGCATTCACTCACAATACATTCAGCTTTCTTAAGAATAAAAGAACCAACGCTTAAGGTTTTCTTTTGTTTGTTTTTTAATCAGGTATTTTTATTAGTACATGTGTTGCAGTACATCCTTGTGTGGAGCTGGTATATGCACAGAACACATCTTGACTCTTTTTCTTACCCTTTCTCTGCTCTTCCTCCCCCTACCCCACTGTCTCTTGATTCCCCGACCATTTGAGAAACATCTGTCTCCCTACTTTCTATTATCTATCTTTTATTTCAGCAAACTGGTAAGATGGCTACATGCAATCTATATTTTAATACAACCTGGACTTGATTTGCAGTTCAACTACTAACTACCAGTGTGCTTTGGTACGTTAGTTATCATCTCTCTGCCTTGGGTTTTTTTGTCTATGAAATGGACTATTACTTAGATCTACCCTCCCAGGGTTGATTTTGAGGATGTAAAGTGCTGAGAATAGTGCCTAGCAACTAGTGGTTTCTATTCCACTAATCACATCACAAGAAAAACAAGAAGAAATTATTAAATCACTGTTATGTCTAGTATTATAATCACCATAAATATTATCAGGCTAATTAGACATACCTGGATCCAAGGTTTAGAGGCAATTTTTAATTTGCTTTTTTCTACACTCCAAGCATTATATGATCCACCATTGTTTAATCTTGCTAGTTTGGGTTCCCAGTAATCTAAATTCAAAGGAAGAAAAAAAAATGTTATGAAAAAAAAGATGTTTTTCCCAGTACTAGGGATTGAACCCAGGGTCTGTGCACTGAGCTACACCTTCAGCCCATTTTTAAACTTTTATTTTTTGAGACTTGGTCTTGTTAAGTCATTATGTTGCCCAGGCTGGACTTGCACTTGTTCTCCTGTCTCAGCCTCCCACAGTGTTGAATTTTTAAAAAGACAATCAGCAATTTCTCAAGTGAGTTTAGTCCAGCAGAAAACCAGATCCCTGAAGGACCTGTTACAAGTAGGAGACCAGGTGGTTAGCATGGGCCTTCACTACCAAACCAGTTCCTGGTGATGAAATCTTGGCTTCAGGTCTGCCTGTGTTTGGTTAGCTGTCCACCCACTCTGTCCTGCACAAAGGTCGTGTTTGCCTTTTCATGGTTATGTTGATATAGCTGCTGATGACTGTGTCTGCCTAACAGGAAGATAGGGGAAGGGTGTATGGGAGCCTCATTATCTTCTTGATGATGGCCTCTTCATCTTGGAGAAGATTTGAGGCATAAGGAGGTAATTTTATTTAGCAGGAGCTCCTGACTTATAGTGGGTGATCAATAAAAATAGGTGAATGATTATCACAGGTGAAAAGTCACCTTACTGGGGACTACAGCTTTTATACCATAAAACCCTGTGAATCTGGCTGGAATATTATGTGTGTGATCAAACCTAGAAAAGAAGACTGAACAGTTTTGGAAGTGGGCACATAGTCATGAGTTAAAGCTATCTACTCCTGCCGCAATTCCTGTAGAGACCGAACTGCCTATATAGAGATACCAGTGATGCCTGGGTCTTGGTTTTCCTTGTGGGTGGGGGCCTCTTTGGAAACAGTATACACCAGAGGGAGTGGCAGTGATAAGAACATAATAATAACAGGCTTTTAGCTTCTGCCATAGGGATGCCTTCCTCTACTACATAATTACCCTAAATAGAACTATTTCTTAGGTTGCATGGAGGAAAGCCTGGAGAGGAGAAATGGCCTATGGCCAGGGTTGTCATGTACAGTTTCTCAGGCTCTATACTGTGCAGTAGTAGAAGTTGATACTCACAGACTATGATGAATGATGAAACTACTTACTTAGATGCTCAGAAGCCTTGATCTGTGAATCAGCTATAACACCAGTGCTTAGGCCCATTGGCATCTTACAATCTATGAAAAACCAAAACAATGAATAATTTTTGCTTAGAAAAATACATAAAACAAAGTAAAACTCCAGGGCTAGATACTATGCCTTTGATGTATCATTCATTACATATTTTCATTTTTTTTGTGAAACACTGACTTAACTATGTGTGATTATACTAAATATACTAGTAAAATTGGTCCTTTAATTGAAATTGGAACACCATAGAGGAAAACAGCAGAAACCTTGAGATATAACTGGTTTTAAATCTGACTTCCATCTTCTCAGATCTTAAAGTAAGCAATTTTACAACATTAAGTACTGTCCCTCATAAGACTATGGCTTCAAAATTTGACTTGTTAGTTCCAAGGCTGTTTACACCTTGATTAAGGAAGGGAATAGCAGCCACTGTGGTACCTGAGTGTTGGAACAGTATTTGATACTCCATAGGTGCTTAGTAAAGTTTGATAGGTGGATGGGTGGACAGAGGGAAACTATGTTTTTGAATACTAAAATGGCAAGTGCAGCAACTACTTCAGTCATTGTTGAATTCTTGTTCTTTTTCCTCCTCTACTTTAGGAACATGGAGAATTTCTTACATGCACTTTCCCATGGAGCACAAATCATGAGGAAAAATGCTTTCCCTTGGTTCCCCAACTAAGAGGAATGCCTTTGATATAAATCCTTTGGTTTATGTTTGCTAGTTCTGGGCTCCCCAACCTGGCTGCACAGCAGACTGCACAGCAGACTGCACAGCAGGTGAGCAGCCAGTGAGGGAGGGCAGCTTCGTCTGTATTTACAGCTGCTCCCCATGGCTTGCTTTACCAACTGAGCTCTGCCTCCTGTCAGATGGATGATGATGTTAGATTCTCATGGAGTGTGAACCCTATTGTGAATTGTGCAAGCTAGATTGAAAGCTTTTTGGAACCATTCACAGATCAAAATTGTCTTCAGGAGACCCATCCCTGGTGCCAAAAAATTTGGGTACCACTGTTCTAGATGGTCCAGAATAAAAACAACTATGGCTATAAATTATGCCTTTGTCACAGCAGAGTTATCAGAAGTAAGCAGCCTAAAAGTCGGCAATATTCCAGTTACTGGCACATTCTTTCTAATAAATATCGAGTGTCTCTTGAGTAATACCTTTGTCTATGATGAGAAATGGTGTCTGCATCCCTGCTCTTTGGTTTTCTCCAACCTCTGTGTCTAGAAGCCACCAACCAGGTTTTGATGCCTTCATCTCAAGAGTTTTAAATGAACCTAGAATAGAAAGTTAAGGACAAAATAAAAACTCAAAGATTAACAGGTCCATCTAAACTTCTGTACCTACATCTGAAGTAGATTAGTATCATGATTTCCCCACCCAAACTCCTATAAGGGTCTTCCTTTCACTAGTTCTTCAGACAGCATTTGTAGAAGGGAGGCTGTTTATTAAAAACATAGAATCCAGGACCTGGGCCTGGTGCCACATGCCTGTCATTCTAGCACTCTGGGAGGCTGAGACAGAAGGACTGCAACTTCAAGTCCATCTTGGGCAGCTTAGCAAGACCCTGTCTCAATAAAAGAAAAGCTCATAAGAGAACTGGAGGGGCTGGGGATTTAGCTCAGCGGCAAAGCGCCTGCCTGGCAAGCGCAAGGTCGTGAGTTCGGTTCCCGGTACCGGAGAAAAACCAAAAAAAAAAAAAAAAAAAAGAACTGGAGATGTTCCTTAGTGGAAAAATATAGCAGAATCCTGGTAAGTCTACCCAAGATCTACCTTATCAAAGTCTCTGAGAGCAAATCTCTGCTTTTTAGCTTCTGCATTTTAACCAGATTCCTAGGGTTTTACTACAAAGTTTGTGAATCAGTGGCCTTTACATCTCATACCCCTATTCACACACCTACTAAAAAACATATACCTATAAATAACTTATTAGTACATCTTAATCCTTTTTGATGATTGTGGTTTGTTTAAACCTACATTTACAATTATTTTGCACATGAAAATCTCTACTTTTTTATTCTTTAGCTTTAGCGATATTTTTAAAAAAGTTTCCTTTTCTCAAAACAGCATTAGGTACCATTTCATGATTATGATTCCTGGGGTTAATTACCTACCAAAAAAAGTCAGGGTGATACCACCAAGAGTAGAATTCAAGAACCCAGAAATCCTAGTAAGTTTTTAATCTTCCTCCCAACAGGAAAAGCTGCAGCTTCCCAAGGTCTTATTTTGTCTTTGGCTTGAGACTTGATCTGCACATTCCTATGAGCTTGGGAGACAGACCCTCTGCAGAACAAGTTGGGCCACACATTTATCCATATGGTGCTACCACCTAGTTCACTGCTTAGCCGACATTGTACTGTGTGTACAGTTTTGATGTTGGATTTGCCCTGAATCTGTGCCTGTATTTTGACTCCTAAGGAAGTAAATACACAAGAGAGAATGTAATGGGGTGAGGGGTAGTCAGATGCTAAGATTGCCTTGTCTTGCTATTTCTTAGCAGGGACCTCTTCCATCACCAGCTCTTTACCAGGTAGAAGGGGCCAGACCCCTAACTGGTGCTGTTGAGTGCCGTTCTCCAGCAAGGTCTGGCCGTGAAAGTGAACCACATGAATGTCTCGGGAGCCGCCCATGTTCAGCAGGTGTAACCTCACCCACTCTTGCTCGTACATTCTCAGGCCAGGCAAGTTGTAGATCATCCCATTAATGGCTGAAAGGACAGAGCATTGCAATCAACTGAAACCCTGTATACGCCAGGAGAAAGCTGATAAGGAAGTGTAAGGCAACCCACTCACCACCCATTTTCCTCATCATGTGGCCTTCCCTGGTCCCACCCAGGCATAGAGGGCTGGTCTATGTTATAAAACCGATGTGAGAGGCTAGAGCAGGACCTCCAGCACCTCATGTCACTCCCACCAGCCTACTGAGGTGTGGGCCAGGTCCTCCTCCAAACAGGTTATCTTATCATTCTTTCCCTAGAGATTACACCTGTCCTTCTCTGTGCTTTGCCCGTTTATCCATTGTATCAATAGTGTAAATCTTCCTTTGCTACAAAAAGATGAAGACTGACGTGACAGATAATATGAACAGCAGGATGAGAGTAAGGGCACATGTAGCATGTCGCTCCAGGTCCTTCTGAATTCAGAGACAAATAGGAAGTTGGACTTTACCTTTGGTGTACCCACTAGCCATAGTGACTCATGTTTATTTCTCAGATGGGTTCTCAGGTTGTATCCACTCTCCCCTTAGGGAATTTTATGTTTGTTTTTAAAAAACATGTTCACCTTAAAAATATAACACAAAATTTTAATGGTAAAGCTTACAGCTAGCAAGCATTTAACTGGAACAGACAGGGAAGTTTTTTCTTAGAGGAACTGCAGTGGACTTTCAAGGACTCTGGAAGGGAGGTTCTTGTAGGGGCAGAAGTTGAGATCAGTCAGGCACCCTGAAAATTATATCAGATACAGAGATACCTGTCTACAGACATACATAGCTCTTATAACTATTTTGGGTTTCTGTTTAAGAAACAGATCTCATATGAGTAGAAGGCAACTCAAATGATTATTAGGTCAGGACTGCTAAACTGTTGTTGCACCAGGATATGGAAGGGAAGACTCCCCACACAGTAGGTGCTCAGTAAACATTTGACAAGTTGAGCTGAATGATAGAATTCACTTATTTATTCATTGGTTTACATACTCACTGAGCACATACAAGAAAGGCCAGACATGAAGCTAGGGACTGGGAATCAGGAGGTCCTCCTATCACATAACCTGAGAAGTAGTACATCATGGAGATGATCACATTACAGAAGCATGAACTTTAGTACATTTAGGACTAAAGCTACCTTGGATACATTTCACTCTTTGCAGAAATCAGTACATAGGAGCTCAAGTGAGTAAAAGACACAGCTAAGAGAAAAACTCACTTAATTCTTCAGTCTTTGCTTTCCTACTAGGCTGAGAGGTTTGGTGGGCCTCCTGCTTCAGACCCCAAGCATACCAGACCAAAGGGTCTACTGAGGGGAAAGGGGAAAAGGGCAGAAGAGAGAAAAGAGAAGTGGAGGGGAGAGGAGGAGAGGATAGAAAGGAGAAGAGAAGGGAGGGGAGGGCAGGGGAGGGAAGAAGGGAAGTGGCGAAAGTTCTGCTTGCAGTCTTAATTCACTGACTCTTAATGGCCTCTCCTCCAGACTTCTTCATAGACTCTAAATATTTGAATTTAGAAACTTTTAATATTTTCATGATAATAGAGTCCATCCTTAATTGGAACAGGTCATAAATCATATGTTTGCCTACCTCTGTCTCAAGTATGCCTACAGGTGAGATCATTAAACTTCTAGAAGTAGAACTAAGGTAAAAAATAAGATAAAGAAGGGTGGCCTGAGATGGGATGGTAGGACAGGGAGGAAACCCACTAAGCCTTGATGAGTGGCTGCAGGCAGCACTGATTTCGATGTTGTATATAATGTCTAGCAGGGTTTTCCTTTCCTATTACACTGATCTATTAGCCAACACAGGTTCTCACAGATAAGAAATCTCAGAAGAATCATGCCATCCATCAAACTTTTCAAAAAGGGTTAGTCTTTTTCTTTTTTTCTAATTTCCACATGTCATTCTTTTTGCTCTCCATCAAATCCTAAAGTCTGCCTTTCTTTAGAACTGTTTGTAATTCATTTGTCAATGTACTGGCTAAGTTCCAGAGTAGATTTCTAAACAGGCATCCTTTTCCCCTTGTGACTGCCTAAATGGTCTTTTGCCCCTATTCTCCCATTGCCTAGCCGCCAGGATCCTATCTCCTTTTGTTCTCATGTGTCACTGGCTATGGGTGCCACTGATAGCTGCTGAGAGCTAGACCTGCTGGGATCATTCTTATTCTAGAAAAGACACATGAGTGGTCATTTCTTTTGTATAAATACTCGCTCCTTTAAAGAGCAAGAAACAGGTTCATTAGCTTCTTAAAGTGCAGAGCAATGTTAATTCCTTTTCCTTATGTTGCTGTCTGAGGTGTACTGGCCTTTGCTCATTGGTTTGCTTTGCCTTGCAACAACCTCTGTGCACCACCTTTTGGACGCTTTCTGTGCCCATTGCCCTGCAGTGTTTCCTGCCAGGTCACTCAGCCCTTGGAGACGTTAAGAAGCTGGGTTTAGTTGTAGCTCCTGGCTCTGCAGAAGCACTAAGCCGAATCTCTGAAGCTCTAAGGACAGGAGTCTCTGTGACCCAGTGTGATTTAATTCAGAGATTAGATCAAAGTGAGGAAAATACCATGGAACTCATGGGAGTCTTTTACTTCTGAAGATTCAAGTTTCCAAGCCCTTTTATATTTTCCATAGTACCAGCTCTTTTTCTCATCAAAGACCATAAAGAGTAAGACAAATTCTCTCATGTCCACAGGTATGTTGCTCTGCTTGTGCAATGTTCCTTTTCGGCAGATCAGAAGGGGCCCTATCAAGCCGGAGTGGATGTCTTTCTCCTGGAAGACAGGAAGACAGGAAAAGCAAAGAGCATGCATTCTCCTTTGCTCAGGATTTTCTTTTCTTTCTTGACAGTTATATAGAGAAAGCAATATCTCCTTAGAGACTCTGCATGTAAACATTATTAATGAATAGTTTAATAAGCCTGGATATTTATTTACTTCTGTTGTATTCATATTCCTTTCCTCTGATTATGCTGTCCTTGAGCTCAGGAATAATGATGTAATAATAATGATAACATAATGGATATTATTTACTGAGCATCTATACTATATTGAATGCTTTGCTTAATTATCTCATTTAATTTGCACAACTATCCTATGTGATAAATATAAATTCATTTATTGAACTAATATTTATAAAGTGCCTACTATATGCTATGTACTACTATCCCATTTTTAAGTTTGGAAATTAAGGGTAAGAGAAGTCAAGCAATTTTCCTTGGGTAGCACAGTGACAGGGTAGGAACTTAAATCTAAATCTAAACCAGGAATTTAAATCTAAATCATGCCTGTAATCCCAGCATTTGGGGAGACCAAGGCAGGAGGATTGTTGTGAGTTTGAGGCCAGCCTGAGCTACAAAGTGAGCTCAAGACCAGCCTGAACTGCATAGAGAGACCCTGTCTCAAAAAGACAAAAAACAAAACAAAACAAAACTAAGTCTAGGGGCTGAGGATGTACAGTGGGAGAGCACATATTACTCATGCAGGAGGCCCTGGACTTAATCCCCAGCACCAAAAACAAAACAATAACCAAAAAAAAAAGAACCAACCCAAGAAAAACCCCACAACAGACCTAACTCTGTGCTCTTACTACTATGGTTTGAACAAAGGACCCCTTTTGTAATTTATCAAAAACCTATGTATATTTATCATGTATATTTGTTTTGAGTTATATATACATTGTGAAATGATAAATGAAAGACTATTGGGGCCTGGGGATTTAGCTCAGCGGCATAGCACCTGCCTGGCAAGCACGACATCGTGAGTTAGATTCCCAGTGCTGGAAAAAAAAAACAAAAAACAAAAAACAAAAAAAGAAAGACTATTGAATTTTTAGTTCTTTCATAAATGGAAGATGGAATACTTGTTTAAGAAAATTGCAAATAAACATCTTTTGCTATAACTACAGGAGTCTAGCTTGGGGCCAACAAGCATATCAGTAATCCTCCTTCCTCTGGAATTCGAAGCTGCAAGGGAAATCCCTGGTTATGGTAACTGTATGGTAACTGTGTAGCTGACTACAAGGCTTCCACATCCTTCATAAAACACAAGACAGGCTTTTGACAAAAAACAACCCAACCCTTCCACTAGGTGGGCTTGGGTGGTAAGGTTAGGGGAATGGCAAGAACTTGCGGTAGAAGCACCTACCGGATTCACAGCTGAGTAGTAGGCCCAAGCCCGACAGGCGGAGCCAGGGTTCTCTGGCCCTGACCGATCGGTGGCGTGCCATACATACGTATAACTGCTATTGGGCTGGACAGCATTGTCATCCTGAAACCACTCAGGAGAATCATCTTCATAAGTCTTTCCTTCTGACGATTTCTCATAGGCCAGTCCATGGGCATGAAGAGAATATGGTCTAGACGCTAAATTTTTAAAGCGAACCTAGAAAAAGGAATGTACTTAAGTTTAAACAAAAATCCAAACCAAGGCTGGGTACAGTGCTGTACATCTGTAGTTTGAGCTGCTGGAGAGACTGAGGCAGGAGAAGAATGAATTCGAAGCCAGTTTGGGCAACTTACTGCGATATTGTTTCAAAATACAATAGAAAAAGCTGAAGATATAAGAGCCCCTGGGTTTAAACTCTGCACTAAAATAAATAAATAGATAGATAGATAGATAGATAGATAGCATAGAGAGGTTGTAAAAGATGCTATAGGCCTAAAACTGTAAACAGGATTTTGAAAGAAATGACCAGGATTTAGAAGAGCCATGGGAAATCTGATTGTTTGGGGAGGGCACAGAGATACTTTTACTTCCTTGCTAGTTCTCTTTAACTTCAATTTCTTTTCTTTTAAGAAAACAACAGAAAATTACAATGTGATATTTTTCAGTATGTGATCTTCTCCAGTTTATATAGTTTTCAGCACTTATAAAATATGAGATCACTGTTTTTGTCTTGAAGACTGCCAAATGGCTTAGCAAGCAGTCCTTGAAAAGAAATGTAATTTTGTGTTAATTCTGGAAAATAAGTCATCTATGCCTCTTTTGCTACCTTCACCTTTATATAACCTCTGGTGCTTCTGGAAATTCTTCTGATGACCTTGGTAGCACTCAAAAGTTGACTTACTTGGATGACATCATCTACTTCAGCTCTAATAATAGGACCGAGAATGCCAAGATGCTCTTCATATTCACCCTGAGGGTCACGTTTGGTAAAAGTGCTATCCAGGTACTTTCGGAAAACGACTTTCTTGTATGTGGTGTCTTTTTTAATGTCATCGCTGTCTTCATTGTCCGTTTCACTGAAATGATAGCAGTAGGTTTTGTTTAAAGGAAGAAATGAAAGTCTGTTCAAGGAATTTAGGAAATTGTGTCTGTTTCTAAATATAGTATCTAGCATAGAGTCTTTTCTCAATCCTTCATGGGCAAATTAATGAATATATAAATGAGTGAAACCATAAGCCAGTAAATATTTTCTTAACTCCCAACTCAGGTATTTGCTAGACAAATCTCACTATGATCCTTTGGACTAGATCAAGTCTCTTGTATCATTCCGTATGTTTCTATAATGGTATTATAGTATATGTAGTAAATTCCTGTAAGTGTTCATATCTATATTTACATGTGATAGTTTTATATATATTTATTTATTTATTTATTTATGTGTGATCCACTTGTGAGACTATCTTTTAATATATGACTGTACCATTAGGGCATAGTGTAAGGTCAGAGATTGTGCCTAGTTTGCTCATAATCCTTTTCATAATGCCCAGCATGTTATCTGGCATATAGTAGACACTTAATAAATTTTTGCCATACGTGTAAATTAATGAATGAATATAATTATATATCAACATAATTTTTAACATCAAAGACAGACAAAGCCATTCAATGGGACCTTGCCGGACCTTGGGGCTGCTAAGTAACAATGGTCAGCTGAATCAGAAGGTTACCTCTATGAAGGCCAGTGGATGGATGGGTGTTTTGTACCCTGAGAATGGCCACACTCTACATTTGCTTTTGCTAAACTACGGTATTTCCAAGTGTTTTTTTTTTTTAGTACTGGGGTGTTTTGTAGTACTGGGGCCTTCACACTGAGCTATATCCTACCCTTTTTTATTTTGAGATAAGGTATTTCTAAGTCACTAAGTTGCCTAGGATGGCTCAAACTTGTGATCCTCCTGCCCCAGGCTCCCAGGATCCTGGAATTGCAGGTGCGTGCAACTTCACCCAGCTTTCTGAAGCTTTTTTACATTAGTCTGGGCAAAGATGTCTTGGATATGACCCTAAAATGAAGGTAAGAAGAGCAAAAATAGACAGCTGGGGTTGTTTCAAAATAAAAAGATTATGCACAACCTGGGAAACAATCAATAGCAAAAAGACAATCTGTGGAATGAGAGAAAATATGTATAAACCAAACACTTGATAAAGGCCCATATAAAATATATAAAAATTTGAACACGTCAATAGCAAAAAAACAAACAACTTGATTTAAAAATGGATAAAGTACCTGAGTATATTTCTCAAAGGAAGACATGCAAATTTACAATAGGTATATGAAAAATGCTGAACATTACGAATAATAAAAGAAAGCCAAATTAAAATCACAATGAAATATTACTTCATAACTGTTAGGATGGCTGTTACAGAAAAGACAAGAGATAAATGCTGGCAGGATATGGAAGAAAAGGAATCCTTATACACTATTGGTGTGAATGTAAATCAGTGTACAGCCCTTATAGAAAACAGTATAGTAGTTTCTCAACAGAATTAAAAAGTAGAACTTCTGCATGTCCAGCAGACTCACTTCTGGTCATATATCCAAAAGAAATGAAATCAACATGTCAAACATCTGTACTCTAGGTTCACTGCAGCACTATTCACAGAAGCCAAGTGTCTATCAGTGGATGAATGGATAAAGAAAATGTATATGTAATGGAATACTATCAAGCCTTTAAAAAAAAAGGCAGTTCTGTCATTTTTAACACCATAGATTAACCTGGAGATCATCTGTGAAATAAAACAGACACAGAAAAGCAAATATGACATGATCTCACTTATATGTGACATTTAAAAGCACTGCATACGTTAAAGAGTTTAGCTTAGTTATTTTACAATTTATACATATATTAAAACATCATATTCAACACCATAAATAAAAGTAAAGAACAACAAAAACTGTGGTACACATCTTAAGGAGTACTGCGTAGCAATAAAACGAACTGACTGTTGATACATACAAAAACTTGGATGAATCTCTGAAGAATTATATTGAGTGGAAAAATGCTGACCCTCAAAGGGTATATGTTACATAATCCATTTGTGTAATATTATTGAAGTGACAAAATGAAAGGAATGGAGATCAGAGTAATAGTTGCCAGGGGCTAGGAGGTATATGGTGAGGGAGGAAGGTAGATGTGACTCTACAAGGACAAGAGGGATTTTTGTAATGATGAAAAGTTCTGTATCTTGATACACTGGTTGTGATGTAATGAAGTTTTAGAAGCTGTTGCCACTGAGAAAAACTGGGTAGAATATACAAGGAATCTCTATGTATTATTCCTCACAATTGTATGTGAACTTACAGTTATCTCCAGATGAAAGGGTTAATAAGAATATAATATAGCACATTATTCCCCACATAGCTCATCAGCTTAGTCTGAGGCCAAAGCAAGTCAAATTCTCCTGCTGACTCTCAAATTTCCCAAGTCTATGTAAATAATCCAAAAGCTCATCCATCAAATCGGTAATATATACTATACTACATGACCCATCAGCACAGAATTTTATTAAAAAGTCTTTCTATTCTCTTCCCTACAAACCTCATCCATCTGAACTCTGATTGTTGCATAAAATTTCGCAGAACATATTGGGATAGGCAGAGCAACCTTGTCCATCATAAAAAATACAGGTTGCAGGCTTGGAACAGGATGTAAGCATCTGAAGGAATTGATTCCATCTCTTTCCACTTTGCATACCCCTTAGTCCTGTCCCCCAGAAGACTGGGCTTAAAAGTCCTCAGATAATGAACAATTTGTATATAGTAATGGTTGCTACATTTAAGTCAGGTGTCATAGAAGAAAGAATTTTGAACAGAGGTCTAATGTGGAAACCCTAGCCATCACTAACAAGTTAATGTGCACAAACCACCCCATAGGTTGTTTGCCTACTCTAATTATATTTTGTTTTGTTTTGTGGTACTGAGGGTTGAACCCAAGGCCTCTGCATTGAGCTACTTGCCCAGTCCATTTTATTTTTTTAAATATTAAGACAGGGTCTTGCTAAGTTGCTAAATTGCTAGGTGGGCTCAAACTTGTGATTCTCCTGTCTCAGCCTCCCAGTATGCTCAGATTGCAGGCAGGCACCACCACCTCCAGCTCACTTTGGCTTTTAATTAGTGTAATAGCTTTTGTAAGTGCCGTGGGCTATATTTAGACATTTCATGTGCAGTCACCAGGCTGTATCCCTGGGAACCTCTCATTGCCCAAGGCTTCTCCTTTCCTCCTTTCTATATATCTTCATCACCAATATAGAGCCCAGTCCAATATGACTTCCTGCCCTTTAGTAATAATGATTTGAAGATGATCTCTTCAAAAATCTGGATCCCTTCGAAACTCTGTACTGTAAACAAGTAAATGCAAAAGGAGATCTGTACATCAAGATTTGGGTTTAAAGCTAATTTCAATTAAATTGTATTGATTATCAGATAGCACTGGAGCAGGAAGGGGGGTAAGAACGTCTGTGATAACAGAAGGAGAGAGAAGAGGGGGCTCACTTACCTATAGGATATCACAGACTTCTCACTTTGATTATTCTCTTATTGTATGGCTATTGTCCAAATTAGAGAAGCTAATTTTGGAATTGACAAAGGAAATGGTATAGGCCAAATTGCAACATGAGAGCTAAACAATATTCTACAAAATTTGCCCAGAATTATTTTCCTAGACTGTTGTAATTACTTTTTGTTAGCAGTAGTGAGAACATGATAATATAACAGGAGAAAACTAGCCAAACCTTTGTGCAAATTCTGCATAATCCCAGGATATTTCTTCAGCAGCAATGTAATAATACTTTCTGTTTCCCTTGTTGCTGCGGAGGTACCATGCTGCAATATCATCGGGATTTCTTGAAGAGTTGATGTCTGTCCTCCTATCAGTTTGGTAGGGGTCATCATAGTTTACATAATCAATTTCAGCATAGTCTTTTTCTTCAGTGATTTGGACTGGCTGTGGAATAAACTCAATGTATTCTCCATCATCCCCACTGAGGCCCACTACAACTGGTGGGTTTAATTCATTTGATATAAAAGTGTCATTGAGGGTAGGAGATGGGAGAGGAGACGGCGGCATGTGACCAAGGTCTGGATAAGGAGAAGTCAGATTAAATTCTGAAAGAGGCAATAACTGGCTAGACTCAGAAGGGTAAGATATCTGATCAAGGTCTGAAGGATGTAATTTTTGCCTGGAATTTGGTGGAAGAGTTGTCTCAGTAATGTCTGGAGAAAGAGTTACCTGGCTGAGGCCAGGGGAATGAGGTATCTGGTTGAGATCTTGAGAGGAGGTCATCTGACTGAGATTGCGGGGGAGTTTGGTCTCACCAAGTTCTGGGGATAGAGGCATCTGGCTTAGGTCTGGGGAAGGGGTCATCTGAACGAGGTTGGGAGAAAGGCTGGCCTCACCAAATTCTGGAGAGAGCGGCATCTGGCTGAGGTCTGGGGAGGAGGTCATCTGACTGAGTTCTGAAAGGTCGGTCTCATCAAGTTCTGGGGATAGAGGCATCTGACTGAGGTCTGGGGAAGGAGCCATCTGACTGAGGTTGGGAGAAAGGTTGGCCTCACCAAGTTCTGGAGAGAGGGGCATCTGGCTGAGGTCTGGGGACGGGGTTGTCTGACTGAGGTCTGTGGAAGGGCTGGTCTCACCAAATTCTGGGGATAGAGGGATCTGGCTGAAGTTTGAGGAGGAGGTCATCTGCCTGAGTTCTGAAGAAAGGTCGGTCTCACCAAGTTCTGGGGATAGAGGCATCTGGCTGAGGTCTGGGGAGGGGGTCTTCTGACTGAGGTTTGGGGAAAGGGGCATCTGGCCGATGTCTGGGGAGATGGCCATCTGGCTGAGGTCTGAGGGGAGGGTCATCTGAGATTGACTTGAAGAAGAGGATGTTTGACTGAGCCCTGAAGACATAGTTATCTGCCAATCTTCACGTTCCCGGGCATGGGATAATTGGCCAATGTCAAGAGGGTATAACTCGTGGCTTAAGTCAGCGCTGAGCATTTGGCTGGGCTCTGGAGGAAAGGACCTGTGACTGGGGTCTGTAGTGGAGTGCATTTGATCACGGTCTTGAATAAGAGATGTTTGATCGTGTTCCTCTGGGGGCACTGTCTGATAAAGATCTGGAGAGTAGCTTGTTGGACCAGTGTTGTTTGGTGGGCTCAGATTATGGTCAGGAAGTGAGCCTGTTTGAACAAGATTGACAGAGGGGTGTGTTTGATTGAGGTCTATGGGAAGAGATGTTTCATTGGACTTATGGAGTAACAATGAACGGTTAAGTTTCCTGTCTGAAAATGTGGTGTAGCGTAGTCCTTTGAGGGGGTGAATGCCCATCGGGGAGAGAGGAATACGGTGTGTAAGCTTTGGTTCCTTTTTCTTTTTCCGTGTTCTGATGAAAAGTGGCCTTTTCCTCAATTCACTATTTTCTGTATCCTGTCTTACTTGTAGAGATTTATGTCTAACTGCAGAATATTTTGGGGGGTCACTCTGCTTTCCTGGCTTGTTTTCAGGTGGAATGCTTTCTTTCTGAATCCTGGAGACATTCTGGGGGCTATTCAGCAGCTCATTAACAGCCTTGTCTTCATCATTGTCTTGGATTATTTCATAGCTGCCTTTTTCAGAAACCACATGCCATTGCCCATCCAAAATCTTTGATGGATTCTTTTGTTTTAAGAGTAACAGATCACTGGGAAGATCCTCCCAGGTTCCCATTATTGAAGAGGTATTGTCTTGATTTGAATGTCTCTCAGTTTTATGGGCTGGTAATTTCATCCAGGAAAACCTGTGCTTTGTTAATTGGTTTCTTTCTGACCTGAATTCTTTGTGTTTAGCATGTTCTCCATCTCTGAATCCTCTTGCATCTAGTAGGCTTATCTCTGTGACATCTGACTGTAGAGGATCTTCTATCTGGTCTTCAAAATATGGGTTGGAATACTCTTCTGTGGAAGAGCTGACAACTGGGTTCTTGTCTAAGCCACTGAGGTGTTCCAGGAGGTGACCAGCTATGGAAGCTTCTGCATGAGAAAGGGTTTTCTGAGGTTCTGTGAAGTTATTCACAGTGGTTCTTGAGGAAGAATTGGAGCCTGTAACTACACCTGTACTTGGAGAAATGAGCTCAGAGCTGTTCTCCAGAGCAAGGGCAGTAAGATTGAATTCATCTTCATTTTGATTAAGGGTTAAATTTCTGAATGATCTAATTCCTAATGATGAAGCCAGGCTATCCTGGTAATCATCATCTGGACCAGTCTCCTCATGTTCATTTTCTGAAGGAGACTGCATTTTCCGTACATCCATGGGTGGCAATGCTAGAGGTTCATAAATCTCATACGAGTCTTCATCATCATCCCGGATACATTTAACATCCCTGAATCTCAGCCGGAGGTTTTTGTTTCTTGGACTGGAATTCATAGTAGTCAACATCCAAGTTCCTTCACAAGAGAGACAGAGAGAAGTTTGAAAGTCCAGGAAAACATATGTGAACCCTAGGAGCCATATAACAAGTAACTTTTAATGAACTTTAGTCAGAGATACCTAAGTGTGACCTGTGGACCACTGAGGACCACTGTTACTATGTGAGCTACTGGTTACTGGCACATGAAGATATAAGGAGAGAAACTGGGAATAAAATATTTAGGTTTTTTCTTTTTTTTAGCAATTTGATATTGCTTGACATACAAGAACATAATCAGTATGCTTACCTTATTTAACAGAATACAGACTAAAAGTATTGGTGGGTAGAGATTAGGGAGAATAGAAAAGCCAGCACAGGTAGTTAAGTCATTGTTTTAGAATATATTAAGAATGGGGTGAATCAGGAATAAAACAGACCTTGAATATCATTAACATTTTATTAGCTCTGGTTTGAGAGTTGGAGTTAGGATGTTGATGATAGCTATTCACATTAAGTAAGAAATATTTGGGTATTTCTAAGAAATAATTCATGTGGGACCAGGGCAAGCTGGAATGTCTTTGAAATGGTATAAATCATTGACACACTTAAGATTTCTTGGGGAGTTGACGAGAACTACCACTTGTTGAATGTTAAGCCCTTGGCCCTTATTATGATTAATTGTCAGAGAAAATGTGTGAAGTGTTACTGCACTTTTTTAGACGAATAATTTGAGACTTCCTAAGCCCAAGTACTTTGTCCAGGATTATAAGAAACTGAGTTATGGAACAGCATTCGAACTCAGGTCTGTACTCCAAAGCTGTCTCCAAGGCAACCTATGAGGCACTCTATTTGATAACTGTTAATCCTAGAGTAGATAGCAGTCTTGAAATATTTGAAAAGGGCATTTTGATCAATGAAATGCTCCTTTATGGCTGAAATATTCATGGTACTTCCTTGTCTTTCTGTTACTGTATGTCTTTATATCCCACTTGGCCCAGAGATGTGTAAATGCAACCCCCATAAAAGAAATAGACCCAGGTACATCAACAATTTCCCAAATGGAAATGCTAAAAAGCAGTGAAAGGAAAGCCTGCAGGATGTTGGGGAGATACCCCATGAACAGTGGTCATCTGGAGAGCTGCAGCAGACCCTTCAGACAAGAAGTCCAAAGTCAGCTCCTTCCCCAAGCATCCATGTACTTACTCACCGACATTGTCCATTGTGACGGTTACAGACTCTCCACGCATGGGGAAGAGGGTCAAGGTGTCCTCGTGCCTCTTTCCATAGATAAATGAATGTCCAGTGAAGTGAATGGTCAAGATATCATCCTGGGTCCCCACACTGCAGAAATGCCACTGGACAGTATCATCAAAGCAGAACCCTAGAGTAATGATACTCTCGGGCACAAAGCCATTGATAGCTGGAAGAGAAAAATCTGTTAAACTGCCAGGCCTTTGCCAACAAAAGGGCATGTGTCTAATTATACCTAAAATAAAGGTCCCAGTGCTAATTTGGTTGTGTCAAAGTAATGATTACCCAAGATAAACTTTCCCAGATCTAACATGTGACTTGAAGGTCAAATTCACACTTCTCAAACAACAGCTTATTCTCTGGAGTTGGCCAATAAAGAAATGTCAGGATGAAGACAGAGCCTTTCATTTGCATTGGTTTATTTGCTTATTCATGAAATGTATATTAACTATTTTGTGCCCTGTGTTTTGCCTTTAAAGATACTCTAAGAGTCAATTTGGAATATTGTCCAGAATAATTCTATCTGGAGGAAAATCATAATGTAAAAAAATCCATGTTCTTGACATATTAGTCATTAAGAATGAATATTCCTAAAAAAGAAGACTATTTAGCATATTTTGTCTTTTTATTGCCACCTATCATCATCTATATAAACTCCAGTTTTCAATCAAGTATTGCGTTCACATTTTTCATTATCTTTAAAAGAGACACTGCTTATAGTTGTATCTCAATTACCCTATATACTAACCATGATAATCAGTTAAAATGTGATTTCTAGAAGGGTAGAGCCTGTATTTACCTTGTTTACCATTATAGCCCTAGTACTAATTCTGTGTCCGACGCATAACAAATTTTTAAGTGGGCATTTAACAAATACATGCTGAATCACTGAAATAATGTGTTATTAGTTTATACCTCATTCTAGATGCTTCCTGCCTGGTCTACAACAACTACATTGTCCAGTATGGTAGCCACTGGCTACAAGTGGCTATTGAACAGTTGCAGTGTGGGTGGACTGCATTGTGGTGTGCTGTCTGAATATAATACACACTGGATTTCAAAGATAGTAATAAAACAAATCTCATGAATTTTTAATACTGATTACATTTTTAAATGATAGTAGCTAGAATATAATGAGTTGAATAATACACATTATTAAAATTAGCTTCACTTATTTCTCTTGTTTTTTAATGCAGTTACCAGAAAATATGATTTCTGTTGCACAGTGCTGGTTTAGAACTATGGAAGATTCACTGCTGAAATGAAATTATGTGACGAAAGCTGAGAATAACCCCCTGTATGAAATTATTTGTCATGGCACCTCTCAGCTCTGATAATACCAGTTGTCAGTCATCTGAAACCATATGAACAGACCATGCAGAAATCATCCTCCTAGAAATGATTATTTGCTTCTCAGAGGTGCACAAGGTGGGTCCTAACTCTGCAGAACAGTACAGGGGACCCTGGCTATGATGGAGATGTTTGCTTCCAGCTGCCTCAGTGAAATTTCTCTTAGATTTCTTATAGCACTAAACTTGGAACTATAGCAAATTCTGAGAACATTTCCTGCTTCTGAACTTCCTGCCACTGACTTCAAAACTCCTTGTCATGCTTTGTGCTTTCAAGACTTTTGGGTCCCCAGACTTACTTGCTTTACTTTGATTTGATGACCCAGCTTTGGATTACTTATTTCGTTTCTGCTCTGGCTTTAAATAAAGAATATTCATCTTGTACCTCAGATCCTCAGGTACTCTGGCCAAGACCTGTAGCATCTCCCCTCCCTGGCTTTCTCTCTGCCTACATCACACTGAAGCCAGGAGGTGAAGTAGACTCTAAGCATAACTAGGTTTTAACCTCTTGTTGAAAAGATAAAGGGCCTTAGTTGCTGTAGTATCACCCAGGAACCTCATCAACAAGTGCTTGAATTGAATGTGAGGATAAGACAGCTGCTTTTTGATGAGTATATTCTTATATGTGTCTCTGCTTCTAGACACAGGCACACTTCAACCAGTTGAATGAAAAACTGACGGGTAAAAACAGTACTCTGACTTACTGCTCATTATGTTTGATTGATAAAACTTGGGGTCATCCCGTTTCACCCTTTCAGGATTTTCACAGAACTTGTTGATATTGTCCTCGATGTACCAGCTCTTGTTCTCATCAAACACAGCAAACACAGCCAGCTGCTCGATGTCCGCTGCCCTCTAGAGGATGGAGGGGCTGTGTTTAGTGCACTGGCTGATTATCTGTTAACACTAAGATCTCAGAGACCCCAGACGCATTCTCCTTGGGGCCACGGACACCTTACAATTCAGGCAATTATGACAGCCCATTGCACACCAAACATTTGTCAGAAGTATAGCTAATATATAAGAGAAGACAGATCAGAAAATCCAAAGATTAGAAGATGGTCTTAGGACAGCACAGCACTGAAACACTGTTTATGTCTGAAATTGAACACCTTTCAATAGGAGTGATTGGTCGAAGTGTCCCAAATAGTTGTAGACGACGAAAGGGAGCCTGCAGTAGGAAAGCCTTATGCCTCTCCCTACCCATTTCCTTCCTTATCTCAATAGATCAAGGTCTGGAATCAAGTATTTGTTTCGTAAAGCACATACTTATTTTGTAAGCCTTGGGATAAGACCTCTTTGATTATTGCTAAGCTCAGTTGGAAATTTCAGATTCATAAATGAAACTTGATCTTCAATGAGGATTAACCCAGAAGAGTAGTATCTTTTTTTCATCTTTTGTATAATTTAGCCTCACTAGACAAAGACCATTGACTGAGGCCAACATCACTAGAAATTGTGTCTTTAAGAGCACTTGATTTCTGGGAATCTCTCCTATTTCTCTGTATTGTGGATCTCTAAAATAGCAAAGATGGGTACAGAGCTTTATACTTTTACCTGGTGGTATCTCACTGATGCCCCATACCACCCTACAAAAATTTTAGGAGGAATATTACAAAGAGAAGTTAGGATAGGTTAGGATTTATTCATTTCAGTCAATAAAAATAGACATGGAGCTTGAAACTAAACCAAAATATAGTATCACCATTAAAGAATTGCTTGGGCAGTGAACATCCAGATGAAAACAGAAAAGATAAAAAATAGCTAAAATGATATGTTATCATACATGGTAAAGAATAACTAATATGTACTGTTCTTTTTTTTGGTACAAGAAATCAAACTCAGGACCTTGCACTTGCCAGGCAGGCACTTGTACTGCTGAGCTATGTTCCCAGCTGTACTGTTCTTTAGAAGGAAAAGCCCCTTTTTTGAGCAAGGAGACCTAATTGTTCCGCCCACAAGAAATGCCTAGAATTTTTCCACACCTATCATTTTATTAATATTTGTTTGTGGTACATAATAATTATATTGATCTTGAGAGGTTTGTGCATATACATATTGTTTCTTAATTTCTAAAGGGTTTCTCAAAAATAAAATACCTGTATGCCTCGCATATCCAAGGATCTGCTCTTACAAATTAGAAGAAGCCCTATCAGGCCAGAGGCAATGTCCCTGGTGACATCTACATCACTGTAGTAAGGTCTTGTTAAGCACTGGGCATCATTGTCTGTAGGTTCATCAGACTCAAGGATGTTCCATTTATAAGTATAAATTTCCCCAGGCTGAACTGCTCGGATCATGGTGTGATTGCCTGGAAGGAAATGGAATCAAAGTGGCTTTCGCTTGGAAAATTATTTTACGATTTTAAATAAGTTATCTTAGTTCTCACTAGAACCAGTTAACATCAGGAAAATAATATTCTTTTTACATTTAACACTACCTAATGTGGTCAAAAATATGCTGTTTAAGAGTTTAAAAACATTACAGTAAAAGACACATGCCATTAATCCCCCCTCAAAATACTCTGCCTTGCTTTGATTGCACTTATCATTCTTGTCACTTTTTGAACCAGTTCTAGAAGTCCTCTGTCCTGAGCATCTTTAGTTGTACTATTACAGTTGCCTTGATGTCCTGAACTGATTGGAAATGTTTACCTTTCATGGTCATTTTGACTTTGCAAAAGAGCCAGAAGTTTCATGGTACCAGATCTGGTGAATTCGGTGGTTGCAGACAAGCTGTAATGGTTTTATTTGACAGATATTGCTGTAAACATTTTGAATGGATTCAGGACATTGAGGCAACCATGAAAAGACATTCACAAAACAGGACTTCCAGAACTGCTTCAGAAAGTGGCAGTAACAATGAGATGAGTGTGTCCAAAGCGAGAGGGGGAGTATCTTTAGGGGGATGAATGGCACTGTGTCTTTTACTATAAGTCCTTAAAATTTTTTATTTAAACATTCATGACATTTTTTGATCACACATCATGCATGTAACCATTTAATATTGCTCCACTAGAGGCCACTATGACACTAATAAATGATACTGTGCCATATTTTGTAACTACAGAGAAGCAAAATCCTTGAAGTGAGCAGAGCTTAGTTGGAAGTTTTAAGACATCGCTACGTGTATACTACTGACTGCACTAGTTACACTATGGTGCAAGGAGGATAACAGAAAAACATGGCAATGTCTGGAGTGACTGGTTTCTTTCAGTGGAAGTGAAAGATTCCTACCTGAGGTGGAAGAAGAGTTGACTTCATCTTCATAAGGAGAGAAGGTCACTCCTTGAGGGTAAATGCTATAGGGGCGACTGGCCATATTTTTGAACACAATCTACAAAATTAAATCAAATATATTATTTCAGGATTTAAGGTCACTCAGAGTTAATGAAGGATTTTAGCTTCACATATTTACGTGTGTGTATGTGTGTGTACATGCTTGCACATACTCAGTGGGAAAACTAGTTCTGTTCATGTGATCTTTAGCTTTCTTCTATTATCTGGTAAGAAATCTCTGGGAGAGTTTTACTCACATGTGAAGGTAGAAAATACAGAAATCTGAATTTGGAGGGCAAGTTAAGAGAGATTACATTTTCTTCACAGTGTTTAAACCTCACCAGGGTGATTGCTCTCTCCCTTCCCTTGTCCTTTCAGCTTGGGTCACATTGCACTTCGAATCTGCTCCTTCTCTCCAGATCACAATCTCCATGTCCTGTCTACCAGTTCTCCTAGGATCCCTGTCACTGAAGCCTTCTTCTTGCACTGGACTGACAATATCCAGATCCAAATTCCTAAGAATGTGTGTTTACCCTGACTAAGAGCACCTAAAAGGAATTGGAAATGAGGGAAGGGCAAGGGACATACAATCCTAACATTTTTGTCCTTTTGTTATTTTTAAAATGAACAGAATAGGTTTTGTCTAAGGCAATGGTGGTGAACCTATGGCATGTGTGTTATTTTTTAAGGCAAAAGATGTTAATGCATGAGTTGTTTCTTCTAAATTAAAACCTCAGTATTCAAATTTAATTGTAGTGTTGGCACTTTGAAATAAATACGTGGGTTTGGGGTTGCAGTTTGGACACTCAGTCTCTAAAAGGTTTGCCATTGCTGCTCTAAGGCATGATTCACACAGGAGTCCTAGTTAGGTGCAGTAATCTTCAGAAGAGAACCTTCACCTTCTACTTGGTTGATTGCAGAAGCCTTTGAAACGTCTTTAATCCACAGATTATCTGCACTCTAGCATCTTATCAAATATTATAACCTTCAATTCTGTGCTTATCCATCTTACTGAAGGGTATTAGGTAATATTTAAAGAGTATTGTCTGAGAAAAGCTCCAAGCTCTTGGTATATATCTAACTTACCTTAACCAGTGCCAACCATTAGAGAATGATATAGCTAGACCACGTTACAGAGCTGTTTGTACTCAACTGTGTTCACTGTTATGTTCTCAGTTAGAGTGAGAAACATAATTTTAAAAAGCTGTTCAATTTTTAAAATCCATAATAATTATAGGAATTTGTCAAGGCTATCATGCTGTATCATGTAGCACTCTCACTAGAAGGAACCATAGAGGAAATTCCTCTGAGGCTTTGGTAACTGGGCAAACTGCTTCATTTATAGATGTGTAAATCTAGTGCAGACATATTTCCCTTTTACTTTGGCTACTATGAAACCTACAACAAACTTTGTACCTGCCTCAGATCACATGGTATGGATTTCATTATACATATCTGAGGCTTTATTTTGTTGCTATTTCATCTATCACCCCAATATATTGACTGTCTTATTTCTTTATAATTTGTAATCTGCTTAGATCCTTGTATTACTGAGTAGGTTATAAATAAATGCAAATACTGAATTAAAACCAAAAGCTAGATTTGCATTTAAAATTATACAAACACCTTTTTGTTTTAAGTATAAACAAAAAAAGTATACTCCATGATATGCCTTTCACTATTTAATTTCTTCCATGGTCCTGTATTTATGTTACTTACCTTGAGTGTGTCTCTGACCTGGGCTCTGATAATAGGGCCCAAAATCCCATGTGGATTAATATTGCGATTGTCCATGCGTTTGGTGAAGTTTTCATCTTTGTATTGTCTGTAAACAACTTTCTTATAGTGTTTTCCAATTTGGTTTGAGAAATTATCCAAGTGCAGAGATTTGTATATTCTTAAAGTGGAATGAAATAATAATAATTTAAAAACGACAATATTTCCTCAAATAGTGACCCCTGAAGGATTAGAAAATCCCTCAGTATTAGATGTCTCTGGGTTTATACTGGCTGAAAGGTTAGGATGCACTAGGAGTGTTTTTTAAAAGTCTTTCCTATCACTTAAGATACTCTTTTTGGCTTCCTAGATACTTTTTAATCTCCAAAACCATCTCCCCCACCCAGAAGATTTTACTGTCTTTATTAGTTATGGTTCTGTGCTATTAGGCTGTTCCTGCCACCGTCCACTCAACCCTAGGTGCTGGCTGAAGAGCAACCTCCTCTGCCCAGCTTCTGTAGCTACTGGGACAAATGACTTGGGAGAAGCAACATGAACCACTTTCCCCTTGGCTCTGTTTATTGCCTTAGTTTGCAAAAACAAAAGCTCAGTAACAGAGTATCTAATTCATGTATTTATTTTGTACAGTGAAAAACATTGACTGCCACCAAGACGTCACCAAATATCTCAGTTCTGTCACTATCTAGTCTTGGCCAAATTTTTTTTGTTCTTTTCCTTAGTTTAGTGTTTTTAAACGGAAAATACATTCATAAAATTTTTCTAACAGTTAAAAACTCTCACTCACATCTGATACTCTCCTTGAATTTTCTTAATTAATTTTAGGTGTATAATTCCAGAATCTTTATGCAAACATATATAAATATGACTCACAAATATGCAAATATAAATAGTCTTACTCCCAACTCCTTTAACAAAGACAGCTATTTACACCCTCTGTACCACATCTTAAGTGTTTAATAATACGTTTTGGAGGACTTTTTAAATTAGTATGTAGAGAATGTTTTCATTTTTTTGTTTCGTTGTGCAGATGGATAATGTTCCATTATATGAATGTTTTATAATTTCATAAACTGGCTTCCTAATGATGGAGAGTTTGGTTTATTTTTAATTTTATACTGATAGTGCAGAAGTGAATGCCCTATGCATTATCATTTTACCTATAAACAAGATTTATACAGTTAAATTCCCAGAGTAAGACTGCTGGGTTAAATGCAGAGTAAAACTGCTGCATTTATACTTTAGATATACTTTGCCAGGTTATCTGTAGAATGACTTTGCTAGTGTCCTTTTCTACTAGCAATGTATGACACTGCTTATTTCCCACAGCCTTGTCAACAGATGGTATCATCTAAACTTATGAATTAGATAGGCAAAAATAGTATTCTAATGAAGTTCAATTTGTATTTCTCTTACTGTGAAATAACTTGAGTATTTTCCCAAGTGTTTAAGAGCTATTTGAATGTCCAGCTTTCTAATTCTCTCTGACATAGTCCCTCTTCTGTTAAAAAAGACCAATATTTAACCTTCAGAATTGAAGAGAAAACCTTAGAAAGAATCTAATATCAAGCAATATCAAGCATTCAAATAATGGTAGCTGTTGTGGTTATTATTATTGTTGTTGTTGCTGTTATTAGGTTAAGTTCTCTTGGTGTTGTTGGGGTAATTCAAGACTGATTTGGATAAGAAAGCCTGAATGGAAACCATTACATATGTCCCCTTGCAAGTTGGGCCCTGATGATTCTTCACCCCTTCACACCCAGGACTATAAGGAACGTGCCTTAAACCCTCGAAAAGTGATGAGAACCCTGATGACTCACTTGTCCATAGTTGCTGGTATTATAGGTGCATAATCCCACATGATTTCTTCTGCAGCAATGAAGTATTCCCACCTCTTGATGTACCGCCTCTGTTCAAGGGTTAGTTTCTTAGTAGTCCTGGTTTTCTTTGGACAGTTTATAATATCAATGTGAGCCTGCATGCCAGCTAAATTAAGATAGAAAGACAGTGAGAAAGTGTAAAAGAAGAAATTATTGTTGATCAAGATTCATATTTTTAAAAGCAATTTAGGAAGATTTAACATGACTGAAAGGAATGCTCAGGCAACTTTTGAACACTTTGGTTTGGAATCTTTCAGTGGACAAAAATACAGACAAGAGGGGAAAGAAGGGTTAGAGGAAAAACTTAGAAATATTCCCTTTGTTTATTCTGGAAAAGAAGGATTTCTTGTTAATTTCCAGACAATACCCTGTGACTTAGATTTTTTTGAATTCTCATTTTTTCTGTTCTCTGTCCATTGGTCTGTAAAATGATGATAATATTAGTACATCATGAAATTTTAATTTAAAATTAAATAAGAATATATAAAGCATTTGTCCATAATGAATGTTAGTTCTATTAATACCAGGAGCTTTGTTTTCCAGGGATATTGTGACAATTTCTTTTTCTTTTTTTGTGACAATTTCGTTACTTCAAATGTAATTTTGCCTGCTCACTGTAAAAAGAAAATGAAATGATGCATTCTATGGTGTATTTCTTCCTCAAGTGTATTGCTTACATACATCACTTATGTAACAAGATTATTTCTTTTAGTAATATTATTACTTAGACTTGTGTCTTGAGATATAAACCCTCCTCTAATAGTTTTAAAGCAAATTGTTAATGGGACAATTAGTTATTTTGTTTACGTGATACCACATAACAACATACCACATAATCCCTGCTGATTTTTTCCCCCTCCTGAATTCTCTGACCTTCTCTAAACCCACCCCTTACCTGTGAAGATATGTTTGATCCATTCAACATATCATGGAATCCAAGAGTTTTCCTGTTAAAATTTTTACACTCTTGGTAATGTGGTGCTTTTCTAAGTTTGCAAATCATAGTCCTGTTCTAGCCTCTAGGTCTCTTCCTTTGCGTACATATGACATACCCCCAAGAAAGAGTACCTCTGCATACATTTTCTTCCTCTTCCTCCTTTTGAGGAAGTAGAAACCTCTTCAGCTTTTGCTTAATTAAAAAAAATATTTATCAGTGCCCTTACTTCCTTTATCCTCCAGCTAGTGGATTCTCAGTCTAAGAGCAGAGTATCGAAAGTCTGCTATTAAGAACAAAAGCTTGTATGTCTTGGGTGGGATGGCTTGAATGAGCAGAGGTGAAGGAGGGAGTTTGTGAAGGGAGAAAGAATGAAGTAAGACTGTAAGAAAAATTTCTTACCCTGAAACTGTCTAGGGATGAGAGAAGATATGGTCCACTTTCCCTCTGGGCTCACAGTCATGTTGGCAGTAGTGGATGTAGCACTGACCAAGGTGACAGTGGAAACTTTCTGATGGTTCTGCTCCAGGACCTGGCCATTGAAGTGAATGGAGAACAGTTCTGGCCCGGAGCTCATTCCAATCAGATGCCAGCTGATGTGGTCATGGGCACAGACTATGATAGCTGAGAGAGAGGAGGGGAGAGCAGCCAAAAGAGTCATTCAGTTCAGTGCTCTGTGATCAAAATGTCATTCACCAAAGACACGTAAAGTTCAAGGTTGGAGGACACATGCTCCAGTTGTGATTCCTCTTCAATAAAAGTAGACATCTGAGTTATGGACAAACAGGCAGTCATAGCTCATGGCAGTTTGTGGCATTACAGAGGTAAGAACAGAGCATGGGGATTGGGGGTGCATTGGTTCAGAGGTACAGGATTTCTAAGGGAGTAAGCCTAGGAGGGGACTGAGCAGGTGACCATTCTGTTTGCCTTAGGAATGAGGGGTGTCCTGTGGTGCAGGAATTTCAGTGTCAGCACTCATAAAGTCCTGGGCAAAATAGGGTGGCTGCTCACACCAATCCAGTTTCAGTTGAAAGAGTCAGCAGAATGCCATTCTATCACCTTGATAGAGATAAAACCTTTGCTTACACAGCAAAAGTGTGGAGATTATTTGAGAAAATTCTCCTGCTTCTTTATCTACTTTTTTTTTGTTTTAATGATGAAGTGATGAATGATGTGGGTTACATGCTTCCCATAAAACACAGCGGACTGTCCTCATTATGCTGGGCTGCTGGGAGCTTTCCATGGCAGGAGTAATAAGAACTGAAGACAGAAGCTTAGTTTTCCTCCTTCTTTTCTCCCACAGTGACTGGGAAAATACTCTTTTGTACTGTAGGAGATTCCAGTCCTGGCTTCTGCCCTTGGCTTACTTTGTAAATTTCAGATGCACAATCACCAGATTCTAGATAATGGAGCTGAGAGCTGTCCTCTTACCCAAGGAGGAGCCTTGTCCTTGTTAGCAGACCTTTTTAACAAGGTGGAGATTGCTGGCATCACTCGTGAGAGCAAGAAGCTAGAAGGTAGGAGGCTTTGGTGGAAGCATTCATACACACCAAATAAATACTCATAATGAATTCAGCAGTTAATACATACATAAGCTCTTATCAACTTATTCAATTTATACTGCTCCTAAGGCAGGGACTTCTATAGGCTTTAACTATTCTGTTTCTGCTAATGATGTTTTTCTTCTCTTTTCTCTTCCCTCTATGCCTCTTTATTTTTTCAATTACAAATTTGTAATCTCTATCTTGTGATCAAATTTATTTTTATTTTGACCCAGGGGCTAGAACAGCACCATGATCTACATATGTTTTTAAAATTCATATATGTCTACTGATTGTTCACTCTGTTAGGGCACAAATGGTTAATTCATTTTTGTGAGCTATCACCTTGAGAGGACTAATTGCTAACACTAAGGTGGGGAAGTGAGTGAGGTGTGAATACAGCTCTCCCAAGGGAGAGGTCTGTTAATTAAGCCCAGGCTTTACAAGCTCCTCTAATTACCCACCTGGAAGATGGAGCAAATGAAATGGAATAGAAATTAAGAGCAATACTGAGGCCTCAGCTTACAGATGAAGCCATTCGTGGTATTCAGACATAAAGAATGGCTTTCAGAAATTTAATGTTTCATAATATGGACATTTTTTTCTCTCAGTCTCATTCCTATATGCCATGGACTTTTAGTTCTAAGTCAGTTCTATGAGGAAGTAGAAGATGTAGTCTAGGCTGGGTGCTAGTGTTTGGGTATGGTTACAAGGTGTCCCTGTGGGTCCATGTGCTGGCAGATTGGTCCTCCCTGTGGAGGTGTTGAAATGGTGGAGCTTCAGAAGGTGGAGTTTAACAAAGAGGTGGAGCCTAGTTGGGCACTGGGGGTGCTGCCCTTGGAAGGGAGTGATATAGTTCTCACGGGACTGGTTAGTTCTCACAAGAGTGAGCTGCTCTAAAGCAAGGCCACCCATATGCTTGGCCTCTCCTCTATGTAGCCATTTCCCTTTGTGCTTCTCCCCCATGTTGTGACACATAGAAGAGGCACACATCTGAGGCTGAACTGATGGGCCTGCCCAGTCTTAGACTTTCAGTTTCTAAAACAGTGAGGTCTTTTCTTTATAAAGTACCTGGCTTCAGTCATTTTGTTGTAGCACTAGAAAATGGACTCATTGGTGGAAGTCAGGGGTTTGTCTCCATCTAGTAGTTGCTATGATTTTATTTTTTCACAGTCTGTGTGCAGACAAGAAGAGAAAACATTCTACATGCCATTGAATCTTATTCACCCATCAAATTTTTAAATGTTATTAGCATATTTTTATGTTAGGGATTTCTCCTAATCTTCTGTTTTCCTTAGAAGTGTCTTTATTATATTCTTTCTGCTGACCTTCACTTCTAGGGATGACCTTGAACTTCAGTATAAGTGGGTGGTCACTGTGCAGCAGGAACAGATGTCACTATAGGAGGCTGGACTGATACCCTGGAGGCACAGGACAAAGTGAAACTGCTCAGAGCACTGTACGTAATGGAGCTTCACGCTCGCTCTTAATCCAATTTGATAGTTGTACTTTCTGGTTTTAAAAAATGATAAGATTTTGAGAACCATTGCCCTAGCTTATGTAACATCATAATTAGGAGTTGAAAAACAGTGAATATTATCAACTTTCCTGGTCCCTTAAGGACAGCAACTGAGCCAAGGTAGTAATGACTCTACTGATGTTGGAGGGCATAGGGCCCATGTGTTACCTGGCATTGTTTTATTCACATAACCATTGACTGTGTACATTAGATATGGTGATGGATTCCAGCTCTTGCTTTCATCAAACACAGCAAACAGCAGCACATGTTGTTTGTCAAACATCTTCTGAGTCCCATCCTCAGTGAGGGTGCCTGAGAAAGAAAGATGTGTTTTCAGTAGCATCCTACACTGAAGATTTGTTAGCTTTCTGACATAGCAGAGAGGTTAAGATAAGAAACCAATCATCATAATATAAACTCTTAGAAGCTCTTATTTTTTAAAATAGCATCCTCATGAAGTAACAATGAGTGGGAGTTATTAAATTTCTGGTGACATTTTATAGATTTGGGGAACAGTGATATAAGGGTAAATTTCACCTGACACAGAAAGTATTTGGTGACTGCCAGGGTTCTATAAAAGAATCCCTTTCTTCAGTATTACTAGGCCAAAATGTGCGTGCCTTAGCTCAGGTAGTAGAAGCATCACACCCTAAGTTTAACGCAGCTCTCCTGTTTATGCATGAAATGGAGTACTAGAAAATTGGTGGAGTATCAGGATTAACCTGTTTTCACCTGAGGGAAAAATACTGCTGATGGTACAAGAGAAGAACTTTTCCTAAGTTCAAAAAAATTTTAGTGCCATCATAGTATGTTCTATATACCAAGCAATGGACTATATTTGTGTGATGAATAAATGAGTTGGGCGTGTATGTAGGTATGGTCTGTGTACATATGTAGTTAGACTGAGTCCACCACATTCTTTCTTTCTCATGATATGGTTTATTGTGATTCTTTGCTTTTCATTAAAAATGAAAGATGGGCTGAATTCTCTTGGTGTCAAAGGAAAAACAAGCCCATTCTTAAGAAGCTTACTCAATGTAATTTCTTATAAAGTCAGTTGAATAGTTTTGAAATCTCCCATCTGAAGTGTTCAGCTTATTACAAGAAAGGAAGCTGGAGTTTCATGTTTTTATAGATCAAATTACTAACCTAAACTTTAGTCACGTCAATTATGTTAGCCAAAGTTCTCCCCAAGAATACAGCAGAGGATCGGCTCTAGTACACTTTCAGGAAGACTTCAGCCTTGCAGTAAATGTTACAGACTACACAAATGTGATGTCAGAACATGCTTTCAAGTAGACATGTGCTTGGGAGAAGCTCCTATGGCTGAGATGAAGCAGGAATTTGAAGAAACAGGATGATTCAAGTCCTAATATGAGGTATTTTTTCTCTGTCAAACAGTGCTTTGATCTTTGCACCCTCCTCTCTCTGCCTGATGGACTAAAAGTTACCAAGAGGCTCCCAGATCTCCAGTTGCAGTGCTCCTTAGCACGACAGCATCTTTGCTGATGCAGAACCTTTCCTTATCATTGGCTTTACCTTTCTTACAGATGAGCAGAGGTCCAATCAGCCCTGAGTTGAAGTCCTCTGTCAGATTCTTGTAAGAGTAATAGATATGTGTGAGGCATGTGGGGTCATCCTGTGTGGGCCCGCTGTCCTCACTGATGACCCACTCATAGGTGTAGTCTTGGCCTGGGGCCACCGCATCATCCATTCTCTCTGCAGGGGATGTATGGTCCAAGTAAGAAGCACCTAGAGGAATAGAAGCCATGAGGATATCTTGGCAACTTCCGAAGGATGCCTTTTCATCACTGTCAATCTGAAGAACCTGTGATGAGTTTGCTGCATAGTATATACATCTCCATAGTGAACCTTCATAATTTGGAAAGGTTTCATATGAGGTACAATCAAAATATATAGTGAAGGCTTAAATTCTAAAAAGTTACTATCCTAAAAGCCACATTGCCATTAATCCCCCTCAGAATACTCTCCCTCACTTCAAACACACTTACCCCATTGTCGTTGACACTTTCTGAAGCTGTTCTGAAAGACACTTTTTCCTTAGTGTCATCGGTTACACTGCTATGGCTGCCTCGATGTCCTGAATCCATGTACCTTTCATAGTCTTTTTGGCTTTGGAGAAGAAGCAGAAGTCATGCAGTGCCAGATCCAGTGAAAGGGAGGATAAAGGCCCACCATAATGTTTTTGTTTGACATCTATTACTGCAAATGTTTGATTAATGAGAGGTGATCACAAAATACAGTGAATGTTTAAATTTGAAAATATATCACTGTGAAAGAAACATTATCATTAGTCCCCATCTGAATACTCAGAATACTCTCCTTGATTTCAACACTTTTTCCATCATTCTTGGCATTGTGTCTTTTGCATTAATAAATTTTTAAAAATTTAAACATTCACTGTATATTTCCATCAGTCCTCGTATGTCTCCTTCTATGTTCCTATAGTTATAAAGGCCTTGATACTGTGGTGAGCTGAAGAATAACTGTTACTAGTAAATAAGATAAAGATTAGCAAGTTATTTTTGCAAGGTGTCTCAACAGTTGTTTAAATACAGTCTGAGACTCCAATCACCTTTGTCAGAATATAAAAAGTTTATATTTTCTCTATGGTCCTTGACAAGTCGTCCTATTTATACTTAACTGCTCATCTTGTTCACACTTATGTACTTAGAATTGTGTATATACTGTTTTGCTTGGCTCTGGAGCTGTCATAACTTCCTTCCCTCTGCAACTACCCTCTGCCCTGTGTTATCTCTTACTGCATTTCCACCATCTGATTATCTCAGCTTTCCCCCAGATCCTCAGTGTCTAGCTCCTGCACACAGCCTATCTGCTTTTGTGCATAAGAACTGTGTGTGTGCCCCAAAGTTAAGGTTTCTTGCTTCTGTTCCTCATGCACCCAAAGATCCATTAACAGCCCTAGGTACTCTAGACTTTCCGGGACAACTCCAGGGTTCCTTGACTGCTACCAGGAGAGCAACGGGGTGTAGAAACAGAAAGGGAACTGAAATGCTCAAGATTAAAAGAAGAGCAGAGGGTTGGGTGAGGCTCCCCACAATTAAAGGAAGATGTGGTAGAGATGGAGCAAGCAAGCTCAGGAAGGGGAAAGGTCAGTGTCATGTAGAGCCAGGAGGGCCAGGCTGCTTCCCATTCCTCATGTAATTAAGCGGAAGTTTTGCTATCACCAGCTGCCAGACTTTCTCTTGGGGAGGTAGTTATCTTTGATTCCATAATTTCCTTGAGGTGGAAGGTGAGCCCACCAGAGAGGAGATGTGGGAAGACAGTAACCAAGCCTGAAATGTTTTCCACAGAAGGGAAAGGACCAGTGGGAACTATTAAGTAATTGTATTTTTAAAAGCAGAAATGCTTAATTTCTTCCTCCCCTCTTTCTCATCATCTATGCTTTTTCTTTTCCTCTTTTTCTTTCTCTCTCTGTCTTGTTTCTTTCTTGTGACCCTTTCTTCCCTCCTCTATTCCCTCCCATTCATCATCTTTATCAAGGAATAATGTGCATGCAACAAAGTTCACCAAGTTTTGCTTAATATTTGCAGAGTTTTAACCAATGTGTACATTCTTAGAGCTACAGTCACAATCATGGCAAAGAGTGGATCCTTCATTCCAGAGTCTGGTTTTAAAACATGATTCCACTATGTGTCTTCTGTTTTTCCATTTGGTCTTTGTTACTTTTCCTCTCCTGCCCTGCTTTCTTTTGGGTTATTTTTGTTTGTTTGTTTGTTTATTTGTTTTTTGTTTTTTTGCAGTACTGGGAGTTGAACTCAAGACCTTGTGCTTCCCAGGCAGGCACTGTGCCACTGAGCTAAATCCCCAGCCCCTCTTTTGGGTTATTTTAAACGACTTTTTAAAAATCTCCACTAATGGCTTTGTTTTTATTTCATTAGTAGTGCCTTTCAGTTTATGATATGTATCTTCAACTTATCACAATCTCCCTTCAAATAGTATTATACCATTTCACTTATAAGAACCTTATAGTGATACATTTCCATTTCTTCCTTCACAGCCTTTGTGCTATTTTTCTAATATGTTTTACACTTTTGTTTTGTTTTTTGAGACAAGACCTCACTCTGTAATTCAGGCTGGCCTTGAACTCACTCTATATCCCAGGCTGGCCTCAGACTCGTGGCAATCCCCCTGCTTCAGCCTCCGGAGTGCTGGGAGGTAGGGGCCACCACACCTGACACATTTTATTTCTGAATGCATAATTTGAGTCACAACAAATGATTATTTTTATCTTACTATTTAGACAATTGCCTTTTCAAGAGGTTAGAAATGAGGAAAAACTTCTCTATATTTGCCCTTTTCTAAAGGAATTCCTTTTCTCTGATTTGCTAGTGAGAAATTGTCTCTCTTTTATATATCTGGAACAACATTCTTTTGCCTTCATTTTGAAATATTTGTTTTTCTTTTTTGATACTGAGAACTGAACCCTAGGCCTTGCACTGAACTAAGTTCCCAGGCCTTTTTAATTTTTGTTTTGGGACAGCATCTCACTAAGTTGCCCAGGCTGAGGTTGAACTTGTAATCCTCTTTCCTCTGCCTCCACAGTAACTGTGATTTCAAGTGTGTGCCGTAAAATCTTTTTTACTTAGAATACTAAGTGGACAGATTCCCCCAAAAGTCTAGACCTGTCCTTGTTTGTCTTCTGACTTGTATTGTTTAGAATAAGTCTACTATCATTTATTTATGTTCCTCTGTATGTAATGTATCTTTTTTCTCTACTTTTAACACTTTCTCTTTATCATTATTTTTGGCAACTTGATTGTGATGTGCTTTGGTGTGGTTTTGTCTAGCCTCTTTAAGTCTGTAGGTCTTCATCATATCTGGAAAGTTTTCAGCTGTGATCGCTCAAATACTTCTTCTGTCCCCACCATTCTGGGATACAATTACATATGTACTCTGTCACTTAATGTTGTCCCACAGCTAACTGATGTTCTGCTCATTTTGCTCAGGCTCATTTTAAAATCTCTGTGCTTCATTCTGAATAGTTTTTATTGCTAAGTACTCATGTTTTCTAGTGTTTTCTTCTACAGTGCTTTATCTATTGTTAATTTCATCTAGTATTCTTTTCAGCTGCTGGGTTCAACTATAAAAATTCCACTTGTACATTTTTATATCTTTCATCTCTCGATTATGCTCATACTTTTCTCTACTCTCTGGAACATATGGAGAAGATTTATAACAGCTACCTTACAGTTTTACATGGCTGCAACATCAATTTCCCTTGTTTAACTGTATCTTCCTCTTTTCCATCTTTTGAAACTCTTTTCCACTTAGAACACTGCATGAGTTTGCCTGGGATCTGAATATATCTGGGTTCTTCAGGTGGGGATGGGAAACAGGCATATTATGAAGTCATTGCTCATGGGATAGTGAGGTAGAACAGTGATAGGCACTTCTCTACATCTAAGCCACTAAGCATAGAAGCCATAAATGGAAGGGTTGAATAGGTACATCTGCATTCACTGATGGCACAAAATCCTTAACACAGACTGCAGATCCATGTCTGATTCCCTGTTTCTTCTTCTCTGTCTAGTCTTATCATGTGTGAGTCTTTCCATTGATCCCTGAGTCAGGTCTCCCAACATGCTGAGTCCTAACCTACTTCCTAGTCTTTGCAGATATATACTGTTCCCTCTGCTTAGAGCCATCTGCTTGGTGTTCCTGTGAATAAATGCACCCTTATCATTTAACTTAATGCCAGTTTACCCTTTTATTTACCTCTGACTCTACTACATACTTTTCTCATATGATCAAGATTTGCAGTTAAATACTTGGGATACTATATGATTCATATTTCTACTAGATTGTTTGCATTCTGCACATTTGGTTGCCAAAGTATGACCTCCTTAAGGGAAGGTTCAGGACTGTGTTTATGCTGGTATCTCTGGTGTCTTCAACAGTACTGGGGAAGCATGGAGAAGATGCTTGATATGTGCTTATTGAACTCCTAATACTTAAGGTCCTGTGGATTAGAGCCAAGTCACAGCATGTGGGTGTGTTTTGTTCTGACTGTATGGTGTTAAAGCAGATTAAATACCAACATTTTAGAAAATCTGGAAATGTTATACAAGAGTCTGAATTCCTGGTTTCCTTTTAAAAAATACAACTAAAATCCGAGAGATCTGATACTGTAGCCCAAGCTACTGCATAGTATTTGGCTGGACCAATCTTGGCAGTGGTCTTCTGCTTTCTGATCACGGTATCTACTGGACACATATTTTCACTGAATTACCTACCTGGCTACTCCAGACACCTGTGTCTCGACCCTTGTGCTGGTATAGAGCTTAACATTGGACTCTGTTGTGTCTTGTTCCCTTTTAAAAGATGGCTTGATAGTGACTGTGAATCAAATATTTACTTTAGGGCTGGAATATTCAAATTATCAGGAGCAGAGAAATGATAAAACATCAAATAACTTCCAATGAGTTATAAGATTATTCTAGTCTAAAAGAAAAAAGAGTGTATGAAGAAGACTCTCAATTGACAAACAGTGAGCTTTATCTCCGGAAAGTTACAAAAGAGTTCTCGAAAGCAAAGTGCAAACAGGATGGGTAAGGAGGGTGGCCCTGCCAGGTCAAACACTGTGTGATGACTGCATGCAGCACAGCTAGTTGTGAGCCGCACGGTGGGAGTACCAAACCTGCCAGCCCTTCCTCAGGCTTCACTGCCTCATGGGGTTGAAAATTGGTGTTTCTGGACATGAAGTGTGC